GAGACAGAGAGAGAGAGGAATATTCTGGTTTCTCTCCATTTTCCTAATAAATCATCAGGATTCATCACGGGGCTCCTTTTTAATAACATCATCTAACCAGAATCACTTCTCAAAAGCCCCACCTCCACACATCATAACAGGATTAAATTTCTATTCTTGTAATAATATTAAATAATGATTAAAGTTTAGTACATGCAATCTTGGGTTGTTCAGTCAAACTATATCCAAACCATGCAAATGTGGTATTTTGTTATGGCAATCTGAACAGAAAAACAGAATGGGAAAGGAAGAAATTATTCCATGTTATAGTATAAGGAAGTGACTGCGGAAGAAAGCAAAATTAGGTACTCAGCCCACACTAGACAGTCAAGCAACACCAGGCAAACACATCATTGAACATTCATTTTTAACAGTTTTCACTTTAAGTTAAAGGCTAGGAAGATGTGACATCGCACTATGTTGGAAGAACCATATTCTATGTGTATGACAAGTTATCAATATGCAAAGGCATTTGTTTTGAGCAATGGCATAACTACTTCTGGTGTTTGGAGTTGTCCAGGGTGTAATTATAGCCACCCTTGCAGAAAGATATGACAAGTAGTACTATCACCTGTAAGTGTGCTATGCAGCATTTTGAAGTGAATAGACATTATAAATATAACATTGTCTGGTACCTGAGATCTGGCCCTGATAGCAGAATGTGGAGCAGACACAGACTTGTGACTCAATTACATAGTTATTTAAAAATATCTTAGAAAAATGGGATGAGACTCCTTACCTTTAACAATTCTGAAGTAAACAGCTCCATCTGCTTTGCCTACGGAAAAGGAACTGTGGGCAGTCGCCCATCAAAAGCCAGTAAACAAACACCCTAAATAAAAAGTTTGGTCATATATATTGAAGGAGGAAAAATATCCACCAAAACAGAATGATCTTAGAAGCTATGTTCTCTGCTGATCCTTCAGATGAGACTGTAACCTAGCTGACTCCTTGATTACAGCCTTCTGACATCTGGAGCAAAGGACCCAGCTAAGTCATCCCAAGACTCTAGACCCACAGGTATTGACAAGCTGGTGGCTTTTTAGCTACAATGCTAGACACCTAATAACTCACCAAAAGATAGCTCCAAAATACAAACTCCTGTTTGGCTAGTTCATTTGTCCCTCACATCATCATTCATACTACTTCTAGATCTTTCTGCCCTGCTCTTCTCAGGCATCAATAGAGATAGCTGTAGATGTGTCTTCTGAGGTCTGGGACATTGAGAAAGACCCTTCCTTCTGCATTTGTTACATCCATAGGGTTCCTTTCCTGTGTGAATTTTCCGATTCCTGATGAGCTGGGATTTCTTAAAAAAGATTTTGCCATAAGATTTCTCCCTGCTGAGTGATCATGTATAGTAAGTAAATGGTGACTTACACTGGAAACTTTTCCTATATACTAGATATTCATGTAGTTTTTCATACACGAGTAGCCTCATAACTGATGAGCCATGTTTTCCAATGAAATATTTCTCCACAATCACTATATTCATAGGGTCCCTTACCCCGGTATTACTTCTCTGGTGGACAGTACATTGTGCCTTACAGCTGAAGAAGTTCTTACACTGCTTAGGATTTTTTCCCTATGCATGTAAGAATAATTTGCTAGTGAAGGTAATCTCACATTTAAGACATTCAAGATTTTTATTCTGGGTGTGTTAGACATGTTTTCTTAAGTTTTCCTTTCTAACATATCAACCAGTGCTAATTTATCACAGGTGCATATTCATCACATTTACGGATTCTCCTGTGTGACTCCTCTTGTGGGCTGTACAGGTTTTCAATAAACTTATTGTAGTGGTTTGAATGAAAATGTCCCCCATAGGCTCCAAGTATTTGGACATTTTGGCCCCAGATGATGGCACTGTTTTGGGAGGTTTTAGAAGGTGTGGTTATCCTGGAGGAAGCACATCACTGGGGGTGGGCTTAGAGAGTTCTTAAGCCTTCCCAGATCTCCAGTTTCTCTCTTGCTTCCTATGCCTGAGTGATGATATGAGAACTTAATTTCTGCTGCTCCTGGTCCAGCCACCTCCAGCCACCATGCCTCCCTGCCATGATGGACTGTAATTCCCCTGGAACTATAAACTCAAATAAACTCTTCCTTCTCTAAATTGCTTGGGTCAGTGTTTCTATCACAGCAACAGAAAAGTGACTAATACACTTATGTCTCCCAATTGGCTAGTTCCTCCAAGGGGCGGGGCCTGCCGCAGAGTGCGGACGACTGGGGGGTCTGCTGGGAGCCATCTTGGAACAGAAGACACTAGCCATGGTGTGGGGAACCACGTGAAGCAGCTCAAGGACAGAATGGCCCGACACTTATGGGCATGGGGCGAGATCACTGGCCCCTGAGGTGTGAGCGAATGCTAGCAGTGACTATAAGCATGGCTCTGAGCCATGCTGCCCGGAGGCGCAGGGCTAGGCACTGGGTACTCATTCCTCTGTTACTCCCCTCCCCCACGATAATAATAAATGCACACACACAAAAAGATATGTTATATGGTTTGCTTGATAGCACAAGAGACTCCGAGGGAACTCGGGTGACAACTTATCTTCTTGTTGGAAGCATGCCTTTGTCCTTCCTGTCATCTTCCTGCTCAGTTTGAATCCTGTAATCAGGATGCTTGAGAATTATTTCCCATTATAGCACAATCATCAGAGTTCCTTTTGTCCAAGTCTCATCAGGCTCACAAGAGGGATATGTATCTGGCATACCCTACACTACTTTGGTTTTATTACCAAGTGATTTCCATTATTTATAATCAAGCTTAAATCATGGTTTGAGCTCAAGTAAAAACTCCTTCCTAATTCAATACCCTCTTTGGTTAATATGATGGTGGTGAATACAACTTGTCATAAGTGTCTGTCCTGACTTTCCTCACTTGCATCAAATATGTCATTTAATTATGTATGTTTATGTAGAGGAAAAAAATCTGTATCTATGAGCCACATCTAGGCACTGCTTATGGAATGTTTATTAGTATGTAAAGGAAGTTCTTCCTAGCCTACTGCCATACAATTTCACAGAAATCATGATGGGCATTTGCAAGTACATGGGTTTTCTTCCCACTGTTAAAAAGTAATAACACTGACTTCCTAAATGTTGAATTGTTTTTTCTTGTTCCTTTAACTTACAATTTTATGAAAAATATTTGGTTAGACTACTCACTTACTGACAATATTCAGTTATTCTAATCATTATCTCAGTGGGTTATTCTGTAGATACTGAAACAAAAACAAACAAAAAAGCAAACCACTAGACTGGACTATATATTCCACTAATACGGACCACTCTGGAAGGATGGGCTTCAACCCTCCATTATAAGGACCCTGTGTGGAATAGTGGTGACTCTTCCTCCTCATGTGTACACCTGAGAATGTGTTTATGTAGGCAAGAAATAAATACCTGTTTCTGTATTTACAATATTGTACAATCATCTGTAAGGTTGTCCACTCTGACCTTTCCTAGGGAGGTTGCCCCTTCTGGCTACTCTGGAGCATGAGCAGAAAGACCCAGCAGCTCCAGTTCAGCCCTACTCACTGCGGCCATGCACAGAAACGGCATCACAGAACTGTCCTTCCACCATGAGAATCCTTGTGTCAGTCAAATGGTTCACCTCATTCCAGAAGGTGGCAGTAGACATTCCTGGAGAAGGAAGAGGAGTTGGTTCTGTGATAAAATGATGAAGGAAATGCTGAGTGGAACAACTTCTCAGAGACTCTGACTTGTTGGGCTGTACTCTGATGGGGTGCAGAATATTAATAGTTTATTCACGGCAGAGCCCTTGTGTCAAATAATCCTGAAAATCTGCAGAACACAGTGTGAGAGACAGCTCTTTCCCTCACTAGCTGGGCACAAAGACAGGTGATAGATTGCTTCATACCCACACAGGCTGTGGACTGGGCCAGGGAGTGAGGGGAGTGAGAGGCTTACCTGTGTCTAATTAAGATGAAAAAGCAACAGAAGCTGGCCTCTCAGTTGTCATTTGCTGAGCTCAGTTGTCATTTGCAGTTGTAATCATTCAAAAGGAACTGTAGTACTTTATAACACAAAGTATTAGAAACTTTTGGAAGCTATCCAAACTATGAGCAGAGTCAGTGGATGACCTGAGATGACTTTCCAGCTTTCTTTAGGGCTGGGGATAGTCCTTGAGGGCAGAGTGCTCGTCTACTATGCATGAGGAACTAAGGTCAGTTCCCAACACAATACAGAAAAGAACAAAAATCTCTGTGACTGTTTTTATGTTTGACATTTTAATTCTGATGAAGGTCTTTGATACTATTCTGGTATTTGTGGACTTAAGATTCACAAAAGCCTCAGGACACATTCTTCATAAATGCCATCACTCTATTGTACTTTAGGTTTTATTAATCTGAAATCCCAAAAAGGTTGTGCCCAGTATGCCTGCAGGGGGCGCCATTCATACAGATGGAGGCTTGAATGAGGATCTTGGCTTTGTGGGCCAGGGACACTGCTTTCTAAAAATACATTTATGTTGTAAACTCTCTTTTTAAACAGGTTTCAGGGTTGTTAAGAATTTTTAATACTTCCTCTTCCACTCACTGACTCTTGTATTTTTCAGACTTAGAGCAGACTTACTTAAGAGCCCAGATTCAAATCTCCCCCTCCTATTTCTCAACTCTTAACACCAGTTAGCCAGTGAGACAGTTTGGGGTCAGGAGTGAGCTGCAACCATTTTATGCAGAGTAGTTCTCAAACACCAAGCCTAAAATTTCTGATTTGCTCCCAAGCTGGAGAAATGTGACAGAGACCTGAAGATGGGAACTTATTTGGAATTCTTAATTATTTCTAAAATGTTTTTTGCCCATATACAAGACATTAAATAATTTATTGGATCCAAATTCTCACCATTCTACTGCCTTGTATATGTATCACCATGTTTCTGTCCTAATTAGAAAATAAAATATTCCTGGTCTCGGAGGTGACAATTTTTATGCAGCGTCTTTCCGCATCACTTAACTATTAAGTGAACAATCATATTCCTAAAGAACTGGAGAATGAATGAAGAGCTACTAAACCCCGCTGGGATCCATTCTGTGAGGTGGGATTCCATAATGCTAGACCTGAAGCCCCCAGTCAGCACTAGCTTCCCATGCTAGTTAGGCCATCCTCTAGCACTTGTCTCTGTGTAGCCAGCAGTGTCTCCTCCTGGGGTCTTCCTAGTGTCCCCACGGCTACAGAAGCCCCTCAGCCTGGACTGTCTTGCCAGCAGCAGTTTGCAGACAGCTCTGTACTTCTTGGAGATGAGGTTGTAGAGGATTGGGTTGGATGCACTCAGAAGAGTTGCAGAGTGACAATGTTAAAGTACTGAGAGAAGTACATCATCTGGGAGTTTTCTGTGTTTATGTAAATGATTCTGCCCACATGTAAAGGCAACCAGCAAACAATAAACGCCAGAACCACCACCACTGCAAAAGAGGATGTGGGCACCAGAATCGGCAAAAGCATTAAGCATTCAAAATAAAGATTCCCCACTCCCCAGCCATCTGCATTGATAAATAACAGCAAAACAATTTTGAACCTTTACTTACCCAAATCCTCATGCTGGGGGTGTGTTAGGGGGGCTGTTAAGTGCATCGACATTTACTTTAAAACTATACATTAGGCTCAAATGTGTGCTAGCAAGGCTGGACACAGGCCCTAAATTAGGGCACCTGCTCTTAACAAGCGGTTTTGGCAGGCGTGCTTCACACCTCCGGCTTCAGAAACGTGTTCTCTTCTCCATTGCAAACTGCAACAGGTCTAAAATTTTGACATGGGCTGGGTTCACTTTAGTTTCCAGGATAACATTAAGTAGGCTGCTTAGAGGAAAGCAATCAACCCCATCTTCTCAAGGGAACTGTAACACCCAACTGCCAATTTAATAGACTGTCAGTCGGATTAAAATCAGTCACCGGTTATGCATCTTGGGTCCCAGCGCCTTTGAAAAAACTTTCCGGTTTCTGGGTGTCCCACCCTCAGGGACTCAAAGTGGTCTCCCACAGGTACTGGGAGATATATGTATATTTTTCCTTTTTCCTTTTAGGAGACGACTGGAAGTACAGGGTGAAGGTGAGCAGCCTTGAGCAGACACACCAGGTTTTTTGAAAAAGGGGCGGCACCACTTACTCAGGACCCTGACGGTCTGCGGGTGGCCCCTTTCCCTCCCTAGCGCAGTCAGGTCTTGCAGTGGATCCCAGCTCGTCCACAGCTCCCTCCCGACGAGCCCATAGAGATGCTGAGGTACAGGAAGGGCAGGAAGTAGGCGGTGATCCGCAGCGCCTCCAGGTGCACGTGGCTTGGGCGGAACTCGGGGCTGAACAGCTCAGCAGCAGCGGCAGCCTCCGGCCCCGACGGCAGGGACTGCGGGGGTGCCGCGAGGGCCCCAGGGGAGGCGGCGGGACCCCGGGCGAGGGGCTGGTTCCCCAGGTGCCGTTCGGGTCCGGGTCCACGGAGAAGCCGGGGAGGACATCCTGCTCCACGCCCACCAGGAAGAAGGGCCCGGCCTAGAGCAGCGCCACCGCCCAGAGCGCGGTGGTGAGAGCGCGGACGCGGCGCCGGGTGAGCAGGGCCCGGGCGGGCAGCGGGCAGCAGACGGCCAGGTAACGCTCGACGCTGAGCGCTGTCATGTGCAGCTGTGTGGCGTACGTGCAGCCCTCGCTCAAGTAGAGCTGCAGGCTGTAGAACAGAGAACCGAACATCCAGGGCTGCGAGCGCCACAGGCGGTACAGGTTGAACGGCAGGCCCAGCAGGATGAGCATGTCGGACACCGCCATGCTGCCCAGGTGCAGGTTGGTGGCGGTCCGCATGTCCCGGCCACGCCCAATCAGCAGCACTGTCACCACGTCGCGGCTCATCCCGACGGCGAACAGGCCGAGGCACACCGCAGTCACCGGCACCAGCGCCCCCAGGGGGAACGCGGAGCAGCGTCGTACGGCGCCATCTCGGCCCACGGCTCCCGCGCGCCCTTCGCGCCGTCGCTTCCGTTCCAGGCCATGCCCAGGGGCTGCCCGGGAGGACCCCGCAAGTGCACTCCGCTGTATGGTGGAGCCCCTGCCTGCGCCGCCGAGCCCTGTCTCGCGCGGATGCAGCTCGGCCGCCCATTTCCCAGCGGGCCTCGCTCAGCCTCCGCCTCCTGACACTGCACCTGCCACTGCTCGCTCCGGGTCCCTCAGTATTGTAGGGGACTTCCCTCTCCACCCATCAGAGCAGGCCACTGACCATATCACAGGAGTCCAGCCCATCTGGAGGACTTCCCAGGGACCATGATCAGTGGCTGCTCCTGAAGATTGGGGGGATGTTCTGATGACCACTGGGAAGGCGCAATCCTAAGTAGAAAGAGTACCCCAGAACAGTACCCTTTCCAGTTCAGGTATTAGGCCTGTGGCACTTCTGTCACATGGCCTCTGGACACGTCTCACATTCCGTCCCTGCACAGCCTGCCCTTCTTTTTACATTTATAAATTGTGGCAGAGGAAGTTGACTTCAAGTAACTTCAAGGATCCTTGAAATCTACAAACAGGAGCAATTTGTTATTATTTTTTTAATTTTTACTTATGTTAAAGAAAATGGATATGTGCATATGGAGGTCAGAGGACAACGCCTGAAGTCGGTTCTCTCCCTCCACCTGGTGGTTCCAGGATCTAACTCCTGTCATCAGGCTTGGTGGCAAGTGCCCTTATCCACTGAGTTACCTTCTTAGCCATTTGATGTTTTTTTTTTATAGGTATATATGACATGAAAGGAGAAGTGAAGTGGTTTAGGGGGCAAAGAGGACTAAGGAAAAGGGGGGAAAGGAGGAGGCCCAAGGTGAGGTGACTGGGCTCAACGTAGAGCATATAGTGGTATGAAAGTATCCTTATGTAACAGCATTGTGTGCAAAGAACATAATAAAAATATTTTTAAAAGAATATGGGTATGTTTACACTTGAATACTTTCACATGATATGTTGTTTTAAACTTTAAAAACCACACAATGCCAATACTTGAAAGAATGTTCAGGAAAAGGATGTGGGAGTCAGCTCACTGTGGTAGTCTCTGACAATGGCTGGAGTGCTTAGTGCTTTTATATTAATCCTCTTTCTCTTTGGATGAGGTGATATCCAATAGTCAGAGGCCCTTTGGGATCTGGAGGATGGTTTGCCTAATCTCAGAGCCTGCAGCCTGCTGTCCCACTGGACCCCCCCCCTCCCAGCCCCATTCCATCTCCTCCTCCACCATCCTTATTCAAACCTATTTCTCAGGAGCTCTGCCAATGACTTTCTCTTTGCCAACAAACTAATGTCTAGCAAATTTTTTCATTCTTCCTGTTGTGGCTTAAAATTTCGACCTCAGGGCTGGTGAGATGGTTCAGCAGGTAAAGGTGCTTGCTGCCAAGACTGAAGACCTGAGTTCCATCCCCAGAACCCACATGGTGGAAGGAGAGAACTGACTCTTGCAAGTTGCCTTCTGACCTCCATATGCAGCACTATGGCACACCTGTACACACACACACCGCAAATTAAAAAAATAAAAATAGAAAAGTAAAAAATAACAATTTTAACCTCTTGTCCTAGGCTCCTCTCCCCCTTTTGGATCTGAAACTTGGGGACAAGCTTCTCCTGTTGTGCTATGACATATGCAAGAAGTAGAGGTTTTGTAAGGGGTACTTGCCATCTCCCTCATCACTGTTATTTCCCACTGTCCTAAAACCTGCCTCAGCCTAAGAGCACCAGACCCCACACTCTCCAGCCCTCATCTCACCTTCATTCCCTGAGGATCAGGTGCCTCGATATCTCCAGTAAGCACACCAGCATAAAATGCACACCTTCCTCATGTGTCTTGGATGGTTGACCTCATTTCTATCTATAATCAGGCCCTGCCCCACATCTCCACCAACTGCTCCTATGGACCTACCTTCTACCTTACTTAGGGATATGGGTGGCCACCTCTACCTTGACTGCAGCCATCCCTCCTTCTGCCCTCCAGCCTGGCTCCTTGTAGCCCATTTTCCCACATGGGTACCACTGTCATCCTTCATCCCATGAAGCTCTGCTCCTTCTGTCTTTTTCCTTGTCTCTCGCCTGCCTTAGGTCCTCACTTTCTTCTTTTTCTCGATCTAAGGCTACAGTCACTCCCTCATAGATGCTTCTCTTTGTCCTTCTCGCCTCTGTCCTACCTGTACAGTACACCCAACCAGAGCACAGCCATCTCTCTGGTTACATGCTCTGCCTACTGCAGGTACGTTCACTTTGCAGTTTCCCTGAGCGTGCACAGCTCTGGCAGGGCTTTCGCTTCTGCAGTATCCACCATCTGAGTACTTACTTCGTTCACTCCCTAGCCTTTAGATTCCTGTCCTGCATCTTACTCTCCTTTTAAAACCCAACTCACCATCCTCTTCCTCACTCTAGGCTGGTGATCTTGCACCCTGTGTCTCTGAAAAGCAATAGCAACTGAGAGAAAAATGTCCATTCCATTCCACGAATACACTCACTCTGCCCTCCTTCCCTGGACAGATGCACTGGTGGTTCTTGCAGCTGGAGTCAGCTTGGCCCCTCAAGCTTCCACCATCTCCCCAAGGACATCAATCTATCAATTTCCTTTGACTCCTACATCATCACACTTCTGAATCACTATTTTCATAAAAACTCAAGAGTTTTTGTTTTCAGGTCCCCCTTCCTCTCTCTCCTGCTCAACCTTTTAGACAGAGACAATGCCATTTCTTCATCCATAGTTGATCTGATCTCTGAGCTTTCAACTGCAGGGCAGCAAGAGGAAATGACATAGCTAGAGGAACACAGTGTTCAGTTTAGTCAAATACACAGACCCTTTAGCTAACATGCCTTTGGGCCCCTAAGGATTCGGGGTGGGGGGGACATGTGGCTTAAAGGTTTTTGTGCAGCTAGATGACAGGGGCTCTTAACTTTATGTTACTTTTTGGGATGCTTGGGCTGGCACTTGCTGGATTCTAGTTCCATGTCCCCTTCCTGCCTGGCTACCAGTTGCTCTGACGTCTCATTGGCAGAGGTCTGCAACTGGTGACTATGTGGCCTTTTTTGACTCACTTGGCCCTCATGGACTGCAGATCCCCAAGTTTCTTATTTCTTTCATTCTGCTTTGTTGCTTGGTGGGCTACCCCAACTTCTGCTGAAGGTGCCACTAATTCCTTTGCTCACCCACCACGGTACCACCCAGGCAGGCTGACTGGGTCACAAGTCAGCATCACATCAGTGGTACCATGGCCCCTTCTATTCTGTATTATGCACTTTCCATTCAAATATTCCCTTTCTCTATGTTCCTGCTTACTTGTGTGGGGCAAGAGTATACCCAGATATGGCCTAGTGAAGGCCCTGTGTCCCTGCAAGCAAGAGAGCAGAGTCCTTAATAGACTTTTGGCCCCTGATGGGGGTCTTCCTAGGTTATGTAACAGGCTGATGTTCTGGATTAAAAACAACACTAATACTTACTGTGTGCAAGCTGCTGTTCCAAGACCTTGCTTATCTTAACTCATTTAACCCTTAACGGGACTAGAGGCAAGAGCCTCGTGATAGCTCCATTACTGTAAGACAACCAGACCAAAGCAAAAAATAAGGCATCCTGTTTGTAGTCCCAGTGAAGTTGGGGCTGTCTAGTCCATCTGCAAAGTTCAGTGGTATAGCCACTGTGCACTGAGGCCTTTTGCTGTGTATACCACATCATTAGCTGCAGAGAGGGCTAGGTATGACTTTGAGATTGCTGGAAAAGTGTCTTCCAACTTATATTCCAGAAAACAGATTTTGTGGGCAGATGAAAAGCTTTTGGCTATGTCCACAACTTGAATTTTACATACTGAAACTTGCAAAGCCTTCATAGGTTTCACCTTTTCTCCACAGAAAGGCAGTATATGAGGCAGAAGCTGAGTCATAACTACAGTAACTGACCCATTCTGTGACGTCTGTTTGCACCTGTCTGTGTGGTGCTGGGGGCAGAACCCAGAGCCGTGCACATGCTAAGCTGGGGCATTACTATTGAGCTAGGCATACCCTCTGCCCACATTTTTCAATATTTTAAACCAAGCAGATTTGGAAAACTTCATGTAATGTTATGAATTTTCAACATGTCTTATAAAGCAGGAAAGATATGGCAGTTTTGGATCTCTAGACCCCAAGAGCTGCCACCTGTAGACTGGCCTGCTCCGTACGCCTCACAGCCCTCGATCCTCTCAGGTATCCATGGCTTTTCGCCCAGCCTCTTCCTCACTCTCCTGACGATGGCTTTTCTAGACTCTAGGTATTGAGAGATGGCATCTTAAAGAAACCTTTTTTTTTTTTTTTTTACATTTATTTATTTTTGTGTGTGTCCATGCCCCACAGTATGTGTGTGAAGATCAAAGGACAACTATGGGAATCAGTTCTTTCCTTCCACCGTGTGGGTTCTGGGGATTGACAGGCTTGGCTGTTAAGTGCCTTTACTCACTGAGCCATCTTGCCAAGAAACAGATGAGTATAAGAAAGGTTGGGAACTTTATTCCTAATGGATAGATATATGTATTTATCACTTAAGAGATAGGGTCTTGCTATGCTGCCCAGCCTGGCAGTTAACTCCTAGGCTTAAGTGTTATCCTCCTGCCTCAGCCTCCTAAGTAGCTAGAGCTAGAGGAGCATGCCACCATGTCTTCTTTTTCTTCCCAAAGGGAAGTTTACTTCAGACTCACCTTATTCTTTATGTAAAGCAATCAAGATATTTAATGAACTGCACAAAATCAAATGGTGAAGCTTCTAATTTCATTCCTGAGTCTACTGGACTCATCCTGAGCAGCGAGCAAGCACCCTCTCAAGCTGAAGTTTGAGAACAGTTGGGAAAATTGTTTTAAGCCCCTTCGAAGACAGGAGATTCATTTTCTTAAACAGGCAGCAAATGATGAAATGTGCATGAATACAAAAAACATGTCTCAAAAAAGAATGATACAACTTTTATTTTCCATGGATTTTACAGATACTTCTGCTACATAGTTCATGTATTCTTATGAGATTATATTTTTTATCTTGTATGAAGCTCAACCTTATACAATTTTCAGGTGATATGTTTGGTAGTGTATCTATAATCTTTAAAAAGTTGAGTTTTTGGAATGTACAGTATATGAGGTAAAATCAAGATTACATTAAAAATTGTTTTCTCCTCTGCACTAATTTTGCAGTGAGGCTCAAATGGCAAGTACACTATTAAATGACATTTACTATCAAAAATAGGAGTTCATCTGAATTACTATGAAAAACATAAGCCACTGTGTGGCACGGTTTACCATTTTAGACATTCAACTATATAGAAATCTCTGGGCTCTTACACTCAAACTCATTTGTACTGCCAAATGTGGCACTTTTAAGAAGTTTCTAGAAAACAATTGTAATTGCTGTTGTTTGGGGGCAAGTTTTCACCCTATTCATAAGAGATTAAATAAAATGTAAACATACAGTATATTATAGTGACAGGGTTTTCTTACCGCTTGGAAAGGCCAAGTTTATCCGCTTCTTTTTTGAACAAAGGTTAATGTTTTTTTTCTACAGCACAGATCATTTGACATAAAACAATTACGATACATGCCCATTCTATTATAAGGGAAATTCTTCAGAGATCTTCAAAGCACAAAACATATGTTCCTTTTTGACAGACAGAAGTGCTTAGTAATCACTAAAATGCAACCCTCTGCAACTAAAAATTAGTGACTCACTATTCTAAAATTCGAATAATAAATTAAAGAAGCTAGTTACAGGTGTCTTACAGGTAACAGATGTGATAAACAAAAATCTCATATAAATTCATTACAGACTGTAATATTACTGGCAGTCATCGACATCTAGGTGAGATGTACAATGTGATACTTGACAAAATTCAATCTGAGCATCCCAAAACTCACAAATGCAAGCTCACAAAACATTAATGAATTATGCAATTGCAAAGTGCTCTAATGCAACATTAACCACATGCAATCAACAATTTGGAACAGTATCCAAACAGACATTATACATTAAACATTAGTTTTTCAAGAACGAAAGCAGCTTGAAGTTTACTGGTGCAAATTAATTTTGTCTTCAGATTTGGTACCCCAAATGAAAAGGCTGAGATTGATTGTAAATTCTGATGGCAATGGCAGTAGTTATGGGAGAAGCTGCAAAACCTGTGAGAGTCCTTCAAAGTTAGCCTATATCAGAGATGGAATGAGTGCGTATATGTATTTCCTACTTAGTCTGCACACAGCCTCCTCTGTACATGTACGCCCTTAACACACATACATATAATTCAAAGGCTCAGAAAACAGAAGTTCAAGGGGGTTACAAATTCAGAGTTAGTTTTTAAAAGTTATGATCTAAAAGCTTCTGTTCTTTTCCATATTCTCAAGACTGAAGAGATACTTTTCAAGTAAACATAGACACTTTTAGGCCTGTGCTTTCTTTGACTTATTTTTGAATCCACATATCTTTGGAATGAAGAACTCCACATTTATCAAAGAAGAAGCTTCTCTGTCACTGCTACTCTTTCATCCAGTTTTTGCTTGCTAAGCCCCTCCAGTTACTCATCATAATCCCCTTACCAAACAGTTAAGACACATGAGGAGGTAGAAATACAGCACGAGATTGCTTTCACAGCCTCAGACTGCAACATTCTTGTATAGCATGTTAGTGTAAATTCTAGTCATTCTGAAATTTTCACTTGGTAAGCATCTTTCAAACAAACAGATGTGGTTATCACTGTTACACTCATGCTGACTGGTCAAAAAAATCATAAATGTTGCCTCTTAGGAAGTCTGTTCTACAAGAAGGCAGATCCAGAAAAAGAAAAGAAAAAGGAAAAGAAAAAAAGAAAAATTAGGAAAAAGTTCCAACGACAAAAAAAAAGAAAAAAAAAGAAAAAAAGAAAACCCCAAAAGAATTGGTATTTGTGGCTTGCATTCTCATGCAGTGCCACCTAACAATCCAAGCACTGAAATACCAAAATGATGTGCTATAGTCTCAATGCCAGTGCTGAATGTCACCATTTTTGTAAAAGCAATACAGAAATAATTTTAGTACATGATAAAATAAAATGTAATACAGTGTTAAAAATAAAAGTTATATTTTCACTTGATTACAAAGTACTGAATGACAAAGGCAATCAGAATGGAAAAGAAAGCAAATAACACCAGGATGACAGCAGCACACTGCTCATCGCTTAGAGTGCGCTGGGTTCGCACGCTGTCCCCAGTGTCTCTGTTGGTGCTGGTTGGAGGTTCTGTCCTTTGGGAGATGAAGAGCACTGTGGTGCTGTAGGGACCTACTAGGTCCTGGTGCCCCACAGGGTCTTGGCACTGGCGAACGGCACACACACGAAACCGATACTCACAGTTCAGCTGAAGGCTGGAATACCGGAAGGATGCTTCAGGACCCTTGTAAATCTATTAAGGAAATATTGGAAGGAATAATGGAGTGTGAAGGCTGGAGAGAAAATACAACCATCACCACATTCTGGAATGAGTTTAGACGCGAGATCTACGGAAGATCATTCATCTTTGTGTCTGTATGGTGTGCATGTGTGTGCCAGAGGTTGGTGCTGGGTGTCATTTTTAATCACTCTTCATCTTATTTATTTTTTGAGACAGTCTCTCACTGTTCCCGGTGCTCACTGACTTGGCTAAGCTGGCTGGCTGACAAGCCCAGGGAGCCTCCTGTCTTTACTTCATAGGTGATGGGCTCATAGGTGAGTGCTGCTGTGCCTGGCTTGTATGTGGGTGTGAGGACTGAGCTCAGGTCCTCATGCTTGCATGGCAAGCACTGTACTGACTGAGCCATTTCCCCAGCCCTGAATTTATCTTTTAAATAACATTAAAAAAAAATCCATCCATTAGCAAGAAAGTAAGGAGATCAGTTCCTAAGTATTTCTCTTGCTTTATTTAAACACATGAAGTCACTTTTTTGTGAACTCATTTCATGAGAGACAGCGTAGTCTTGTTCACCCCATAATTAGGGGCGCAAAGACTGCCTAACCAGTACATTTTTATACAATTTTAAACATTTGTTGAATGAAACAACAAATAAGGGGAACTGTCTAGAGGTGCCCATGGCAAATCACTGTACTTTCAGAAAGGGACTGGTCACTTGGAACCACAGACTAGAATCTTAAAACCTAACTCTGCCATGCCTTACAGAAAAATCGAAATCAATGGTGTTCCATGGATTTTCAGTGGAGTGTGTAGAGAACAGGAGGATGTATACTGGAACTGGTCACTTTGGGGCCCAAGCTCTGCACCATGACTTCATGTTCCAGTGAGTACATTTTAGTGTAATAGGCATAGTGATAGTTAAATTCTATGGTAATTATGAGCCTGAGTTGAACCTACACTTGTTAAAGTACTTAGCACAGTACTTAGCATATAATAGATATTCAAATACTGAAGTTATCTGTAGGAATGACATAAAATGGACAGAGTCTGGACTAATGACTTTTAATCAATCTTGATAAACTCAATAAACCTTGCATCTTGTGACCAGTGTGTTTGTTTCCTGGGAGCCTTCATTTGGCACTCCACCCAAAAAGATAATGATGGGTATGCTTGAGAATTAACACGTCAAAGCATTGAAAGACAGTGTACCCATAATGCACCCACCTTCACTGAACACAGGAAAGGATGCTTAAGATTGGTTGAATAAGATATTCTAGAACTAGGGATGAAAAGGTATGTGAAGGTTGGATCCAAACTTGTCCATCACCAGTGAAGCTAGAGAAACTGTTTTAAATAAAAATGTGAGTGAGAACCTGGCTCAGGAACACAGCTCTAGGAGACAGCTGGTTCTAAGCAATATCTGGGGCCACTCTTAAAAACTGAATTTAAGAGTCAGACTGTTTTATTCAGGTAGAACTGTAATGTTGGCGTAGTAATGCTGCAGTTACTGTCCTCGTCAATGGGCCTCTCTTCTCAGTCTATGAATAAGAAAACCAATGCTTATAATGTTAAGTCTCTTTCCAGTTGGCTTCCTTCAGCTTCTTGTAGTTGGTGGGCTACAAGTAAGGCTAACCAATACCTGCACTGGTGTTCCTTCAAGCACTTTAGCTATCTGAAGCTACTGTACTTGTGTTGTAAATGTGCTTATGGATTGGTCTGCTCCTGAAGCAGATCAATATGTTAGATCTTATGCTTCTACTGTCCAGAATATAGTGGATATCTACTAAAAACTTGTGAAATTATTGAAGTAAATGCTGAGAAGAAAAAGGAACATTTATTGCAAGAAGTCTTAAGATGATCCTTCAGGAGAATGGCAAATATGTATTGGTCCTCAGAAAGTAGATCAGTATTTCAAGAAGTAGGAATATAAAAATGATCCATGTCTGGGATATGGTAAATAATTAATTTACATAAAACAGAAGATTATATAAAAGAAATCAATGTGAAATTATACACATACAATAAAGCCAACTTAGTAAAAGTATGTTGTTTGTTTTACAGATAAAACAGAATGATTTTTAATTTTTGTCTCTGCTTTTTTAGATAGGGTCTTGTATGTAGCCCAGGCTGGCCTGTACTCACAATCCTCATGCTACAGCTTCTGAGTGCTAATAATAGGTTTTCTCTTTAAGCTTTATTTTCCATCATCTCTTCACATGAGTATGATAACATTATGGCTAGGGGAAAAAAATCCTCAACAAATGTCTTGAGGGTGACAAGTGGTAAGATCTGGCAGAGAGAAGACTATATTAATTACACTAGTTAGAAATATAGGTATGTTTAACTTGAAAGCTTACTTTAGGATGTGACATTAAAAGTGTTTAAGGAATTCTGATCATAAAACTGTGAGGGACTGAACAGAGTTGGGTAGGATAAGGGGCTCTTGTTATAAAAGGTTCTAAGGTTATGAGGCCTTGATAAAGTTCTTAAAGACCTAGATATCAATTTGAATAAGAATTTGTAGGTGAAAAAAAAATACACAGATAATATTGATTGCTTAGGATAGCAATGAAGTTAAGAAGTTGGAAAGGATTAATTCAGAGGGATGATGACAAGATCAAGTTGTTGTTTCTACGTGTAGATGTTGGAAAGATATACAGGGAAGCATCTTATATATAGCAGAGAGATGGTACTGAAAACAGATTAACTTGATCACTGAAATTTGAAAGCATTTATTGTTTTCTGCTATTGTTTAGATTACATATAATGAAAGCAACCCTTTATATTTGCTATGAATCAATGATCCACTTATAAGCGGAGTGAGACAAATACCAATACAGACTTAGAGGTAAGAGTGGGGTATTAAGAAATTACTATTTTCGGGGGCTGGAGAGATGGCTCAGCAGTTACGAGCACTGGCTGCTCTTTCAGAGGATCTGGGTTTGATTCTTAGTATGCACATGGTAGCTAACAACTGCCCATAACTCCAGTTCCAGGGGAACCTAGCCAAATAAACATAGCTGGAGGGTCATAGATCCTACAGAAAAAGCCCAAGGCTGTCACATTCTTAGACAAATGTAATTTCTTACTATGTGCAAAATATGGATCCTTAAATCTATAGATAAGTATCTCAGTTACTACCCATCAAAGAAGCTTCTTTTTCAAGAGACAGTGGCCAGCACAGCATACATGATTGGTGCAGTAGTGGCACTTTTATCTTGGGGGTAATCAATTGGACTAAAAGCCCACTCAATGGGAGCAAATGCAACTGTGGTATTGTAAACATAACCAAATACACTTGGCTGGAGAGGTCATAGATCTGAGAGAAAACTCTAAGACTGTCACATCCTTAGACTAATGTAATTTCTTGCTATGTGCAAAATATGTATCCTTATATTTACAGACAAATATCTCAGTCACCACTCATCAAAGAAGCTTATTTTACTCCAGTCGGAGACTATTACCAAGTACCACAACTGGTCACACACAGGCATTGTTTATGAATTGCTCAGGCCTAAGCGACACATTTACAATGTAACCCCTACATCAAAGGCGCATGGAACATAGAATAGGGGTAATGAAGACAACACTAATGAATCTCTCAATTCTCATTAATAAAGACCCCTCATGCAACAGAGGGACAGGAACACAAAAGGTTACAAATGGACAAAAAGTAGAGATTAAGACTCTGCAGATCGCTGATCCTTGGACAGATTGCTGATCCTTGGACAGAAACTATCAAAAATTTGATAGTTCCTACTGCTAGAGAATAAAGACCCATCGATACTCAGTTTCTTCCACTACATATCCCACTCTTGAGCCTTATGGAGCCTTACACTTCAGAGCTCCCAGTCCCCAAACTTCACCCACCCAGGGTTCAAGGACCATCTTGGAAGAGGGGGTGGAAAGACTCTAAGAGTAAGGGAGGAGGTGCATGACCATATGGAAACAATCAGCTGGGACCTACAATCAGCTGGGAAGCTCTCATATGATTCTATGGCAATGGTGTCAGCATACAAAAGTCCCATGTAAACTCAGATAAAAACCCAGCACAGAACCGGGGAAATGAACAGTAGACCCCAATCTTAGCTGAAGAAACATTGGCAACTGATTACTGCTGGGTGAAGAAGAGCTGATCTTCCTAAAGCGAGAGACTCTAGATAGGCTGACTAGACCTCAGTGGATGGACTTGTACTGGGGAACATCTGGGGACACTAACTTGACAGATTGGGTCTTAATAAGATGACAGAGTATATGGGTTCCAGAGCAGGGGCTATGGGAGGGTGCCTGTGGGGATGGGGGCATAAAGATGATTAAGATTGTCTGAGATATTCTGTACAAACTTCACAAAAAAATTCAGTAAAAAAAAGAAAAAAATTTGATAGTTCCTACTGCTAGAGAATAAAGACCCATCGATAGTCGGTCTCTTCCACTACATAGCCCACTCTTGAGCCTTACTGGAGCCTTATACTTTAGAGCTCCCAGTCCCCAAAGACTCAGTTAAATGATACTCCTCCTGCTAGGATTCCAACCATACACCACCACACCTTGCAGTTTTATCTGTATTTCATGCTTTTGTTTATGAAATGTCATCACTTTAAAATTTCTGCTTGCTTGCTAGACTCTAAACAAATTTCTTGAAATAGAATAGTAACTTAATGATGGAGCCTCCCTATACATTTTTGTATTTAGGAATATTTAATAAATGCATGCTGAATATTGAATAAATTATAAAGAAAATATAGATTACATAAAGAAATTGAGCTCTTAAACAGATGGCCTTTAACTTCTGGGATATAACTTTCTGGTAAGTTGTAAAGTTTTATAAATGCTCAAGAAATATAGAAGAACATCCACAAGATGAAGTTCTAAGGAAATCAATATTTTAAGTTTTATAGTTAATAATCTACAGTATATGATACTGAGGTTAATTCAGATTTAAAGTTAAATTAGAATTAGCATTAGTGTTTCATGTGGTGACATAAACTTATTAAAATTCATATACTACCTAAATGTGGGCTCTCTACTTCCTTTAAACATGCAATTATGCAATTAAATTTTAATATTAATTTTGCCTCTTCCTTGGAAGGAAACCTGCTTATCTGTAAATTACATTTGAAATCTAATTATCATGTTAATTTTCAGATGACTTAAAAAAGAAAAATAGCATGCCAAGCTTAATTGAACTCTTTGGGCCCTTTGTTTTTTTTTTGGTCTTTTTGAAACAGGGTCTCCCTGTAGCCCCAGATGTTCTGGAACTCACTATGTAGACCAAGCCAGCCTTGAACTCACAGAGATCTGTCGGGAGCCGTAGGCCCCTACCCCAGGAAATAGCAAGACCTGATTCCTGGCAAAGCTGTTTTTCAGACATCAAGGCTGGCCTGGTTTGAGATTAACCAGATGACTATACTTGAAAGCCTCTCACAAACATGTTGTTCTAACCTGGGCACTTAACGCTTGAGAGACTCCCTCATTTTCTCATGTAATTGCTAAGAAACTTTGGTATTACTCTGTAATCATACAAGTGTAACCTCTTAATTGATTTATAACCTGCTATATAGAATTGTGGTGTTACTATGGAATTTACTCTGTGATCAATTGGTGTGGTGTTATTGTGATATTCGTTCTGTTAATTGAATTGCTCTACTTCAATGGAATTCTCCTTGCTAACTTCCCCCTCTCCTCCCTATAAAAACTTTGTGTGAATGTTCATTAAATGAGACTTGATCAGAAAGCCTGTCTTGTCTCCATTCTTCGCATCTCTTGTCCCTTTCCGTCCCCCTTTTCCTCCCTCCAGAAACCCACGCTGTCTCGCGGGTCGGGACAGAGATCCGCCTGCCTCTGCCTCCCAAGTGCTGGGATTAAAGGCATGCACTACCACGCCTGGCTTCTTTGGGCCCTTTGTAATTTTAGTTAAGATACTACATTACTATGTAGTTTGAAAGAAAAAAATACATGCATTAGATTCTACTAATAATTAAAACATTGCATGGCTGAAGTAAAGCATGTGAATGATTTATTTTCCTTGTGGGAAAAGAAACTGTAATACATAATCAAAACAATTTACCTTAATAAACCCTCAAAAATAAAGAAAGTTGACACCGAAAAGGGAAACTCAGATGAAATGAGGTGCTTACAGATACTGTCTTAGTCACAGACTGTCTAACACCGACAATTACCCTCACTCTGTTACTCATTCTTTTCAGGAAGCTATCTTGGAATTTCTCTGCCAGGAAGATGACACTTCCTCTGAACTTTCATGATGACTACGACCACTGTTATATTCAAACACTGTATTATAAAGTTTTTACTATTGTTATTTAAAATATATTTTATTTATTATTTTTATTTTAGATGTGTTAGTGTTTTGCCTACATGTTTGTAAGTGCACTTGTGTTGTGCAATGCCCACAGAGGTCAGAAGGCGGCGTGAAGTTATGGATGGCTGTTAGCCGCCATGTGGGTGCTGGGAATGAAAGGAGAGTACTGCAGTACTCTTAATCCCTAAGCCACCTCTCCAGCCCCTATTATTGTTATTGAGGCCTTATTGATCTCCCTGCTTTTGTCCTTTTTCTACTGCAGTTTCAACAGTTATTAAAATGTGTCTGCTTCTGTGACTATTCTGGTGAAAAATTCCTTCTTTGGTTTCTCATTTCACACACAGTTAAAAGCTACAGAACAGTCCAGAATGCCTTCAAGGTTTCCATACCATTTCCATATCTTGGTGGTTTCCTTAATATTCACTTTTCAAAAGGCATGTCATTTAGCTAAGCCTTCAGGGACCGGGTGCTGAAGGAGAATCAGGAACTGTCAAGTCTGACTTCAAAGAGTCAAGTGTGTAGTGAAGGCCAGGTGCTGGTAGGGTGTGAGTCTTTATTCCCTTGTGGCACTGACTAGTGAGTACTGTCACTATTTGACTTCAACAGCCATTTGTCCTAGGAGCCCTATGTCTCACTCACACTGGCCCCTTCACTGTGGATCAAATTTAACAAGCAAGCTGCTGCCTCAGGGGAGTTCTTGCTATGCTCCCCTCATCATACTTCCTTAGGGTTCTTCTCCGGCATGTCTTAGCCCTTTGACTCAAGTTTTACTTTTACTTCAAAGCACTTGCTATATACTGATGCACTTATTTGTACTTAGTGTGTCTTTCTACTACACTCAATGGATGTAGATATTTCTACTGCTACATCCTGATTGCTTGCCTGGCACAAGAACTCAATGAATACTTGTTGAATGAATAATCTATTCAAGGGTAGTGCATTTGTAAAGGATTTTGAATCCTGAGATCACTGTACTGTAAAGCATATTGAACAAATGTTTCTGAATTAGGAGGGTAAATACAGTAAAAACTTTTACTAAAAATAAAAACAAAAGGTTACAATATGCATATATAAAATTGTATCTCCACACATACCTGTTTGAATTCTGAATCTTTTCCTACCATAACTTGAAGGTTATAAATAACTGGATCACCTTTCATTGGTTGTAAATATTCCCACGTAATTTCACAAATGTGATCATTCACTTTCTCTATTTTGGGGGCTAGAGGGACCAAATATAAATAAGATCAGCTCCATTTGATTTAACTTAGCACATTACACAGATACTTCTTGTAAAATCCATAAACTGCTAAAACCAAGTTATAAACTTAAATATCAGTGAATTTTTGAAAACAATTAAAATTAAAAATTAATAATGTTTCTGAAGTTTTGAGACACTAAGTTGGACAGGATAACAGAAGAATGACTCAATGAAACTTACTAGCATTAAAAGACCATTTACAAACAATCTTGTTAACTTTGGGTCCACTTAACAAACTGTGCTTTCAATTACCCAATGCAGGACACAGTCCCAGAGGTCTCTACCATTAGTTCTCAGAGTGCAATCAATTTTAGTCTACTTGGATAAATGTACAAGGTACGATCCTTGCCTGAGTCATTTAAAAAGAAGAACTACTTTGGGATTAGAAATATGCATATAGTATGCATATACATATGTATACATGTTTCTGTGTAAATTGGACTGGAATCCAAGTTAACTAAAGAATTGTTTCATTTAGAGAAGTACTTAAAACGTTTTAATAACTAGAGTTTATGACTGCTATTCTTTAAGTAACAATAACAGGAATAGCAAATGACCCCATTAGAAAAACAGCCTAGTCATTTAATATTTTTATATTAGATCATTAAAAAGATCAATGTTTTGTCTGAATCTTAGTGCAACATATAAAATAGCTTTTATTATAGATATTAAAGGTAGATAGTGGAACTCTTGGTGGGTTTATCTATGCTCATACATAGCTGTTGGAGACATACTAGATGATACATTTTAATAAAAATAGAGCATTTCATAACAATATTTTTATTATTAAAGACAATAACTTCAGGCTGTATAAATTACCTTTCAAGGCAGCCGGGACAGATTTTGAAGTAGTGAAAATATATTCTTGGGAGAGAGGACCTTCCCCAGCTTCATTGCAAGCTTGAATACAGAATTTGTAGGATGTGGACTCACTAAGTCTTTGTACTTTGTATGTATGACATGGTCCTCTGTACAAGGAAACAAACCTAAAATGGAAGTAACACTTTATTAAATCAACCTTAGAAGAGCTTATAAAACTGTTCTAAAAGCCACTAAAAGGTATGATTGGGTATGTTTTTAGGAATAAGTTGCTGCAAAAATTTAATCCTAGGAGTAACTGGTTTGATACTTCAAACGTATTTTTATCCTTCTTATCAGATGTTTTGAAAACAGACACTAAAAATTATTGATAATGGTATTCTTTTATGTAAATAATTTTTATTACATTTTTATTTTGTCTGTGTGGAGAATGGCATGCCTGTGCCATGGCATACACGTGGAGGTCAAAGGATAATTTGCAGAAATCAGTTCTCTCCTTATTTGGGTTGTCAGGCTTGGCAGCAGATTGCCTTTACCTACTGAACCATGTCACTGGCCCCTCTTACGACAGTCTTCTGCTCTGGCAAAATTATTTACTTCTATAGTTTGTTTATATACATAAAACCTAAAAATACACACGTGAAAAAGCAAGTAAAAAAACTCTACCTTCCATTCTTATCCTCCATCTGAAGGTGGTACTGTACAGCATCTGTTGATAACGTCTTTGAGGTTCCTTCTCCCCATTTCAACTTAAGGTTCTGGTGGTTAAAGGCAACACATTCCAGACGAGGTGGATCAGGAGGGAGGGGCTTAGTTTTCAACTTTATCATATGGCTGAAAGGACCAGCTCCAAGGCTGTTCAAGGCCTGAATTCTTATTCTACATGTCACATAAGAAAAAAAGTTTAGTATATGATTATTTTATTTAAAGCATTTTTATGGTTTAGGCAAAAATGAAGATTTTTGGGGTATACCTGTATGTTGTATCTGGTTGCAAATTGTCAATTATATAGCTTGTAATCTTTCCCACTGTCAAAGGCTGTTTATCTCCAAGGTCTATGCTGTAGGCAAGGATTTCTGAACCGTGGTCATCAGGCTCTTCCCAGCTAATTGCAAGGCAGGTGGAAGGTGAATAGTGGGGATTTTCTATATCATCATCAGTTATTTCTTGAAGACATGTCACAATGGCAGGAACTGATGGAGGAGTCATACAGGCTATTACGTCACTGAAAGGACCTGCACCTACAGCACTCAGAGCCTACAAATGAACCAAATATCTAAGTTAAGAAAGATGATATGACCAAGCTGGGCATGGTGGCTCACCCCTTTAGTCCCCAGCACTAGGGAGGCAGAGGCAGGTGGATCTCTGTGAGTTCGAGGCCAGCCTGGTCTACAGAGAGAAAAGACCAAAAAAAGAAAGGAAAAAAAAAGACATGACCACAAAAGTGCTCTCCCAACAGAAGACTCTGGGCAGAACTTGTGCTGAGGCACCAGCCCCCTTTACCTGTACTCTGCAGTAATAGGTAGTGGCTGGAGAAAGGCCTTTCAATTCACAGCTGAGGCTGGGCCCACAGTAACATGTCTGCATACTTCCTTCAACTCCTCCCCATTCCAGTCGGTACTCAGTGACATCAGTTCCATTACTCAAGGGAATCTGTAAGAAGTGGATAAAGTTCTTTGTCTTGATTAAACAGTGTGGGGACAAAAATGTTCATTTCCTGAGAATAGTAAAAATCTGGATTGTTTTGAATTTCTTTAAAACATTTAAACACAAGCAACACTGTAAATACTACATTCATACACATAAAATAAAAATAGAGTAAAACATTTTTTAAAAAGTGAATTCTGTTTCTGCTTTGAAGTGCTATATATCATATAGCATTTCAAGCAAGGCATGGTGTATTTCAAGCAACATTTTATTCATTAAAACTATCTGAATAGTGAAAGCCATACTGTTTCATAATAGAAAAAGAAAGATGACCAAGAGTCACTTTAGAAAGGGCATTTTAGAAGCCGGGCATGCCACCGTGCTGGGCTTGAAAGGCAAGAGACATAAAACACTTCAAAGCAGAAACAGAATTCACTTTTTAAAAAAATATTTTATTTATTTTATTTTTATTTTATGTGTATGAGTATAGTGTTTGCATGTACCTGGGTCGTGCAATGATCATGGATGTCAGAAGGGGGCTGTTGGATCTCCTGGAACTGGAGTTATGGTTGTTAGCTGCCAGCCATGTATGTGGGTGCTGGGAGTCAAACCCAGGTCCTCTGCCAGAGCAGCCATTGCTTTTAATCATTGATGCACCTCTCCAGCTCCTAGAATTCACTTTTTATTACATGAATTTATCTAGGACTTACTTTTCATATAATAATTTAGGGAGTAAAAAAGGACAATTACTTTTATTCTTTTATATGAACTAGCCCAATTACTTAGGAAAATAAATGTAAGCTAATGGAAATAATAATACCTCCCAATTCACTTGTGCACAAGTCGCAGATCTGCAGGTCACTTGAGGGGGTTTGCACTGGTCTGGTGGCCCAGGAGCTGTAGTAATATCATATTTTTCTGAAAATGGTCCAAGCTAGAAAACAAGCAGAACACGCATTTTTCCTTTTCATCCCTAAATGTCCAACTGCATAGAACTCCATATTTAAAGATTCACTAACAAGTCTTTCAAAATTAATTTGGTCATAATTATACAGGCATTCATAGAAAATAAAAGATTTAATGACTATGGCAATAGGTAGAAATTTTATGTTTCATTTAATGAATGCCCCCATCCCTTATTCACTTCATGAAATTCTTTGTAAGAAAAGCAGGGCATTAGAAAATTAGATAGGTGAAATAAGAAATTATGTAAGTGAAGAAATGAGTATCAATTATAGGTGTGGTGGATGGCAGACATTAATTATGTCTTAAAATCTGTAGTAACTCCGGAAGAGTCAAAAGTGGATAGTCATGGGGGAATACAGAAAGTAAATGCAGTTGTTCTGACAAATAATCAAAAACTGGGAAATAGAAATGAAGAACTCAGTCAGCACTGAAGATGCTGCCACGTGAACAGCAACCTCAGGAACTGACAGGGTGCTACTCTCACACAGAAAGCCAAGACCTTCTATAAACTTTCCATAGAAGAAATTTAAAACTTGTTCACTGACATAAATACACAACTCATTTGGATACAGGGCATGGAATAAAGTGCAGTTCATTAAAATATGAAATAATGTTGAAAAGAGACTTAAAGAAATATGTGTTACACATCTAAGAAATTGCTGTTTTGTGCTTAGGGAATCTGCTTTAATAAGGATAGAGGAGCAGTGTCACAGTTGAGGGGAAAGAACTGTTGGGCAAGTCTGACGAATGGGTTTGTGGCTTACTCATTTACTTCATTTGTATGATTATGGGCAGGACTTTTCTGAGCCCTAGTCTCACCAGTTGTAAAGGGGAGCCACCACCTTTTTAACTCATTTTACAAAACTGTGTATATACACAGTTTGTTCGTTTGTTTATTTATTTACTATTTATCTATTTATCTATCTATCTATCTATCTATCTATCTATCTATCTATCTATCTATCTAACTATCTAATCTTTGAGACAGGGTCTCTCTGTAGCCCCAGCTGGCCTGGAACCCAATGTGCAGACCAGGATGGCCTCGAACTCACAGAGATCCACCTGCCTCTGCCTCCCAAGTGCTTGGATTAAGTGCGCCACCATGCCTGGCTACTAAAATGCTCTTTCTAAAGTGACTCTTAATCATCTCTCTTTTTCTATTATGAAACAGTTACGGCAAAGGACCACACAAACCAGAAATTCTTAAATCTGAGGTGGGCACATTAGACAAAACAGGAATCACATCTAGTTTCCAAACTAGAGTCAACTTACTGACAAATAGGCTGATCAACACTTCCCCAGAGGAAAAATGCCAACTCTGGCTAAGTCCTGTTTAAATATCACTAATTCTAAGTGAGGCTTGAAAGTACAAAGACAGCATAACAAGTTATAGGGCAGACTCCTTTCTTAGTTACCAGTATAAGCTTATTAAAAATTATAAACCTAGGAGTTACATGTTGAAAACAAAATGGCCAAATAATGAGTGTGATGATGTAGCAAAGTGAAATGCCAGCATATGATTCAGTCAACAGTGTCCTCACCCCCATTCTGTTCGCTGCACGTAGTCTGAAGCTGTATGTCTTTCCAGGAAGAAGGCTGCCCACTGTACACTCCACTTCAGGGCCTTGGTAAACATCTCTGGGCTCATCCTTTTCTATGGGAGACATTTCTACCACATAACAAGAAATGGGTGATCCACCATCAATCAGAGGAGGTCCTAAGGGTACAAAGATTTATGCTTTTTTAACAAGAGGAACACTTCTAATTCTAATTTAATTATAATTCATTACCAAAATGCCAATTACCCCATCGTAACTGGACTTCTTTTGCTTTGGGTCTACCCTGTAATCTGGGAGGTTGGCAGGGGCCAGGAGGCACAGCTGGAGTCTGCACAAGTAAAGATTCAGAGACCTGCCAAAACAAAAGCAAAATCAAAACGAACTGTTCCTAAATAAACAGTCTGATAGCACACAAAGACTCTACCAAGAGTTTTAAATTATTCTTCACTATCAACTGAAAAGGGTTAAAGGTCCTGAACAGAATCAAAACCTTATTAAATCACTGCAACAAAATTTTTATGGACAAATAAAGGTATCTAAATCTGTAGCTACTATTAAAGAACGAATTCTTTCCATCCTATAATCTAAAAATCAAAACAAATATTCAAAACAACTCAATAGGCAATATTTAAAAAATTCTGTGCAGAAGGATCCACAATCTGTTCTTAGTGCTGCAACATTCTATAACTGCTGCCTACCTTTGTTTTCAGGAAGTTTAGACTCTTGGTTACTTTATTGTATTTTTAACCTAAATGTTAACTTATTTTTCAAAAAAAAAATTTTTTTAAATTTATTTTTTACATGGATAGAGACTGAACCCAGCATCTTAGAAATGCCTTATTAACTAAGCTACAAGCACCAGCCTTATTTTATTTTAAAGGACATTCTCTTAAAAACAATGCCATATTCTTTGCCCATATATTTAAGGTTCATACGTAACATTTGTTAAACACAAAGTATTTGTTCAACATTTTATTCAGATAGGAATTCTATATAAGAAAGCTCTAATGATGTACTATAATGATAAAATTCTACACAGGTATATTTGCTCTTCCTTAAATCCAAGGTGATTTTTTTTTTTTTTCTTTTGGTAGTTCTGGGGACTGAATTTGGTCTCCACAGTAGGAAAGTGCTCTACCACTGAGTTATACCTTCACCATCAAGGAGATTTTAGTGGATAAAATGAAACAAATGCATCACAAGCCTGTTGGGCAGGACTCTCAGTTTCAAAATACTAGATTTTTTTTAAACAAGGTTGTTTAAAATCCATTTTTTATAAGCATATTTTTAATTGTGTTAAATTCCACTTGAAAAATATGACTGCTCCAAGAAATGATTCTTAGTTCAATTTGTTAAAAATTAAGCAAACAAACAAAAACCTAATTCCTACAAAAAGCTATGCCTTTGCAGAATTTTATAAATGTGTTACTATATTCATAGGGACATTTAAATCCACTTTAGTTATTGAGTCTCTTAACAACAAAATAATGGGCAGCTTTTCAGAAATAAATTATTTTATCTGTGTTTAAACAGTTTATGGTTTCTCTTGACAAATAATCTGATTATTTCAATTTCTACTGGGTATGGCTATCAAATATTAACCCAAAATTTACCTATATGAAAATTTTCCATTTTTGTCATGCCATATTCTTTTCAAAGCTAAACTTTACCAATGAGACAGAACACTGAATATGTATGCGTTATGAGCAAACTATCATGTGGTATTAACCCTCAGACTATAGAAATTACTTCTCCACATTTGTAGACAAATTTCAATACTGAAGGTAGCAAATGGTGATTCTGTCCCATTTGGTCTAACCTAAAAAAACAAATGTGCATATAAACATTACCGCACTCTGTCCTCCATCACTAATGCAGTAAACTCGTAAACGATAGAAGCAGCCTGGATTCAGTCGATCACACAGATGTTCCCTGGTAGCGCCACTGTATATCATATCCCACTTGTTTCCTGTAAGGTGTAGAATTGCTATAATCAGCTACAAGGCAATGTTTAACATTTTGGTATCACAAACATGGCAGGTATCCCAGGCTTCACTAAATAAGTATTTATGTAATTTGTCAGCAACAGTTTAAGCTTGCCTTGAGTTTCCTGGAAATGATTTAATTTTCTTTATGCATATAGCCTCTGAGACAAATCTACATGGTTTTACTGAACTAAAATATCTACGTAACTCTGCACAGACTTTGACTGGTTAATTTGCTTTTAATTAAGCATATTAAGTGTGTTAACTGGTCCAGTAACAACATTATAACAAAGAGTACAAAGATTCAGTATCACAAGTTTAATCATAATTAAAAGACATTTTTGCATTAATAGGCCATTTTATAGAGAAGAAAACTGATAAACAGGTGACTCGAGAATAAAGTTTAGTTATGAAGGACTTTATAATTAATATAGCTTGAATTAAATTTCAGAGACCAATTTTCCTCTGGTACACCTGGGTATAAATCTAACTGAATAATTCCTAAAAGACTGTACACTATTTAATGACTCAGTCTGGGTATGCTAGGATTGAGCAATATACACAAATGAAGAAAAAAAAGAACAAACTATAAATTAAGACTATAGGTAGACAGCAGTCTTATGTCTGAGTCACTGCACTTCTAGAGATCACAATTTGAAGTGGGTCTTAAAAAACAAAATCCCTGGGGCTGAAGAGATGGCTCAGCAGTTAAGAACACTGACTGTCCTTGCAGAAGACCCGGGTTTGAATCCCAGCACCCACATGGCAGCTAACAACTGTTGGTAACTCCAGTTCCAGGGGATCCGACAGTCTTCCTGTCTTCCGTGGGCACTATATGACACGTGTACACTTACCTACATGCAGGCAATACACACATACACATAAAATAAAAATAATAAAATATTAAAAAAAATTTATAGGGGCTGGAGAGATGGCTCAGCGATTAAGAGCACTGACTGCTCTTGCAAAGGACCTGAATTTGATTCCCAGCACCCACATGTTGGCTACAAACCGTCCTTAACTCCAGTTCCAGGGGAATCTGAAGCCCTCTTCTGACCTCCGCGGCAGTGTGTGACACGGGTGCACTCACATACATGCAGGCAATACACTCATACACATAAAATAATAATAAAAAAAGAGCTGTAAAAGTCATTTAAAAAAATAAAATTAAAAACAAAACCAAACCAAACCCTAATTGCTACAAACGATGATAACCCACAGTGAGGTAAGAACAACTTTATGGTAGCCAATCAGAAGGAAAAGGAAAGATACAATGTAAAGTACTGAAGAGAGTAACTAACTAGAACAATCTATTGAACTTTAACAGTGATGCTTACCATTAGAACCTTCTGCCATCTCCACTACATACTTATTGATAGGTGCCCCTCCATTATCTTTTGGTGCATCTATTAAAGAATAAGACAAAACAAAAGTGACATTATGAAAACACAGGAAATCCTAATAAACAGAATACCCATATAGGATTGTTCAAGAAGGAAGAATATATAACCGATAACATTTTAATTATTACCACTTACATGTTTTTAGTCTACATTATTGTCACCTATTTTTTAACTACCATACCTTCTCATGTTTATAAAGTTGGCTCGTTATATTTTTCAGAGGCTGCACAATACTCAGTTCACGTTAGGGGGTCTGAAATTGGTAGACATTTCATAGTCCAGTCATTTTATAAAAACTTGTCTAAATCTTCAGGCAACAAATAAGTGTATATAATCATTGCTATCCCATTTGACTAGTGCTTAAGCAGATACTCAACAAGTGTTTCAAATCAATAACTGATTTTTTTCCTGAGAACCAGAATAACCCAGCTGACTGTGGCTCCAGGTTCAGCAGTCTCTTTTCTCACAGTGCTGACCCTGCTCGTAACTACACAGTGGTTTCCCCAGTTCTTGCATCAAACCTGAACTTAGGATCTGTGAGCATACTGCTTTCTGCAGAAGGACCCCCCATGGGAGACACATTTCTTATCGGACTACCTCGAGTTACTAAATTTACTTTTATGTTTTTGCCTGTAATCAAAACTTTATGGAAAAACTGAAACTATGTTGTGTACCTTATAAAACTAAATTTCATTTTTCACATTAACTTGGTTGATTCAAATTACTAAACTTATGTTAAGGCTTTCTCTTACAAAACATAAACTCAAGAAACTGTAAACGCAGTAATTTCTTTCTTCTGAACTACTTTCTGTTTGAGTCTGGTCTTTCCTCCCATAGGCTGGTGCAACTATTTTATAACCTACACAAAGAACTACTGTTTGAGGATAGCTGAATATAACAATAATGTAGCAACCTGGACATTTTCTATATATTAAATAGGAACCTGAATTATGAACTAGCAACTTATGTTTTTTTTTCCTCTTCTAGGACACATGTAGCAAATTTCTAGCCAGAGGCCTGTCTATATTGCATTTAAATTAAAAAAAAAAATCTTCATATTCAGATTTTTTATGAAACACAAAATAAAGTGTGAATATGAGTATCTTACCCCAAGTAATTTTAAAACTGTGTGAGTGTATCTTTCCTTTAACTGAAGGCTTCACAGGTACTCCTGGCTTATCAGGGCAGGTAGTGAACTCTACTACTTCACTTGGATTACTTTTTCCTTCTGAGTTATAAGCAATAACCTGTGATGGGAACACAAAGACTTAATGTTTAATATCAAACACTGGCTTGACAACAAAGCAGTGAGTAAAAAAATCAAGCTTGTTCAGATGACAAAGCACATTTCATATTGACATGCTGGTACCTGTGAGAAGAGCTTGTCCTCAGTATGAAGACAGCTCTGAATGCGTGAGGATCTGCAAGTGTATTTGTGTTCTGGAGTCCTAAGTTGCACTTATGGTTTCCTTTGGATTTAAGGAATGTAGCGGAAATATACTACGTATAATTTCCCCCTGGAAAAGCCTGTGGGGTGAGGATCTGGGGTGCTCTGGCAATATAGCCGTATGTGTGGATATGGAAGCTGACACTCTAGTCCCAGACAATGACTCTGATTCCTGTAGACTTTGAATCAGAACCACTGAGCTAAACTAGCCCTGGATTCCTGACCAGCAGAAACTAAGATAAGGAGTAAGTATTTATTTTTTCAAGGAACTAAAGTAATGGGGTAATTTTTTTACACAGAAATAGAAAAAAACTATAATTTAATCTAAGTGTCTGATCTATTTCAGAAATTTAATTATACTTATACTTTTACCTTACTACAAATATGGGCTCTGTGACAAAATTATAGGCAAGGATTTATGTACTAAATTTACTATTCCAAATAACTCATGTGGCAGAAGATAAAGGAAGACAAACAAAATCATTGGGAAGGTCTGTCACAACAAAGACTGCTAGGCCTTACCCTCAGAATTTCTGGTTTAGTAGATGGTGGTAGGGCTGAGAAAACTTACATTTTTAAGTTCCCAGGTGATACTGACAGAATGGTCTGGTGATCTCTTAGACAACATATCACTATTTTAATTTCTTTGCTACTTGATACTAAGCTGATATACAATACTCTTCTATGACCCTGACATGTAAAGAATGGCTGGTGTATGGATAGGTTTCCCCCACCAATCCTGCTATTTGGACTAGTCAATTGTCTCAAGAGATTTTGATTATGTATCTCCTCCCCCTTACAATTTGAGAGTAAATGTCAGAGTGAAAGAGTTTTAAATAGAAATTTGATTTGCAGAAAGTGAACCAGTAAAGAATTCAACATATATTTGTATGTATGTGTGTGTGTGTGTGTGTGTGTGTGTGTGTGTGTGTTCGTTCAGTGGCAATAATGCCACAGTTGTAGAAGTCTAAGGATTTTAATAAATGAGAAATTATAAAGGTATTAATAACTACCACCTTAGAAGATATGTTGGTGGAATCATTACTAATGCCAAAATGTACTCTAGGATCATTATAGAAACTGAACTCAAAGTGTATTCTTCCCAAATACTTTATAAATCTTAAAAAAGATGAAAAATTTGGAAAATGATATGACTAAGAGTCATCAGAAGGTAAAGCATAACAAATATTATGCATTATATAACCAAATTTCATATTACTAAGGTTTTCTAACATTCTCAAGGAGTACTGAAATTTATCTTTGCTCTTTAGTAATATGAGCTATTTATAGCACCTTCTACCATTTATCTGCAATTAAAGGAGTTCTTGCAGAAAATCTCAAAACGAGTAAGTACCCTGAATTTTTTGGAAAATTCTGTGCAAATATTCCGGCAAGTTTATACTGACTGGAAAATTAACTAATTAAAGCAGTATCTGCCAAGACATAGCAATGCATATACTGATCAAGTTAAAGAGCTAAAAAAGATCCCAAAATGATGCTGTTGGAGGAAAGACACATATCAGAAATCTCCATAAAGGAATCTGCCACCGGCTCAAGCAATCAAATGATACGAAGGAGTTAGAAAAAACAACAACAAAAAATACACCACTTAGCAACATTAATCACAATGATAACTGATTGAGGCAAGAACCAGCAATGGCTATTAAAACTAGTATGACAGTCTGGTAAGGAACAAAAGGTTTCCATAGTACATAGTATTCACAAAATGTTTACAGCTAGCAGTATAACTTTGTAATTAAGAAGCAGGACAGATACCACCTCCTTTAAGTGACCACCATTAATGTGATACAAAGAAATTATGAGGCACTAAGAAAAATATAGCATTATTTTTGTGACATCATTGCCAAAGGGCATCCTCTGAGTAAGATTTAACAACATCCACATTTTAAAATATGCAGTCACATTATGCAAATAGAGTCCCAAAAATATTAATGCTAGTTCTGAATATAAATACATGAAGTTGGACAAGTATTATTATATAAAAGTAAAACAGAAAAGGTTAGAAAAGATTGAATTACTTGAAATTATCAAAGGAATGAAGTATGTACTTGGCTTTAACACAGGAATAATCAAAAATAAGAAACAAATGTCTTAATGGCCTTTCAAAATTTACCTTAAATTTATACTTTGTACTGCGTCTCAGATTTTTCACTGTGTAAGCAAGATCTTCTCCATCATATTTAGGCTTAAAACCATATCCCTGAAAAGGGAAAACAAAACTTTCATTAGATATCTGATTGCAGACCTATGAGGAATAACAGGCAAGTGAAAAGACTGAGGTAACACTTCATCACTATTATGTGTGATGTGACGAGGTTCTGGAAAGGTGAACTCTCATTCTTGTACTTCTACTTTGAGTGATTAACACAGAAATGCTACAGAACGTTTGTAGAAGAATTGAGATTACCTATTCTCAGTAAATATAACAGCAAGAGAAGATCATTGTGTGGAGGGAAGAGTAGGGGGTCCGTGGCAACTTCATCATTAGTAAAGCTATTTTTTTTTTTTTTTTTTTTGGTCTTTTTCAGACAGGATCTCCTAGAAGCCCCAGCTGGCCTGGAACTCACTATGTAAACCAGGCTGGCCTTGAACTCACAAGGATCTGCCTGACTCTGCCTCCCAAGTGCTGGGATTAAAGGTATGTGCCACCACGCCCAGCTAAAGCTATTTTTTTCTTTTAATTATTTATTTAATAACCACATATTTAGAAGAAGCATTTCATTACATCAGCATTGAGATATTCAAAAACAATTTTCTGAGCTAGGACGCATCTCTTACAAAACTGGCTATACGTTTTTAGGTTTACAATTGAATCATTACAGTTATATAATATTGTACTCAGTATAAACCCTATAAAACATAAAACTAAATGAGGTTTTAACCTTTAAAAAAGATCTCCAATTCATTATTAAAATACAGTGTCATGTAGAAAACTTCATTTTTAATGCAACTGACATTAAAATGTTTGCACATGCGTTTCTAATCTCTATCAGATTATTACTAGTCACAGTTGGTTACTTTCTGACCTCCTTGGCATCTGAGCATGGATATAAAGTCATCAGGTAGATTTCAATGATAATGTTTTTCACATCTACTAATTATTAAGGAGCAAATTTTTAGGCTTTGAAGAATTACTATTTTTTTATCATATTTTTAAAAATTTTTAATAACTACACGATTAGAAGCATTTCACTACAGCTTTAACATATTCAGTAACACACTACAGAGCAAGAGTACATCTCTTTCACAATTGGCTGTAAATTTTTAGGTTTACAGTTGAATTATTACAGTCATACAACATAAGCCCTGTAAGACATAAAATTGGATGAGTTTTTAACCTTTAAAAAAGATCTCCATTTCATTTTAGAATATATTGTTCCTTGTAGAAAGACTCATTGTTTTTGCTACTAACACTGAGATCCTAATCCTAGCTATTCTCCCCATACTCCATACGTCAGCCCAACGAAGCCTAACCTTCCAACCAATCAGCCAACTACTATTCTGATGTTGGCGCTTGTATCTCTAATCTGTATGTACCTGATTATTACTAGTCAAAATTGGTTGCACTTGGATCCTTGGCGCCTGTGTATGTCTATAAAGCCATCAGGCAGATTTCAGTGGTATTGTTTATCACCTCTACTAATTAGCATGACGTAAATTTCCACGCTTTCTCCTCAAACATAATACATTTTTAAAGAATTTGTTGATTTTTTTTTGTGTGTGTATATCACACAGAAAATCCCAAACCATCTCATTTGACTATATACACCCACTTCCCAGATAGCACCCTCCCATAGCCTCCCTCCCCCGACTAGAGCCCTTATACTCTGATATCCCCGCTACTGTCTGCTGTGTTGTCGGTACCCTGAGCCCTTCCCCACTACTTATCTATCTGGTGAATCTATCTAGTCAGCCTATCTAAAGGTCTTTGTTGTCGGAGGGTCAGCTGTTTCTCATCTAGCAGTAATCAGTTGTCAATACTCCTTTAGACAGATTGGGATCTGTTGTTCATTTTCCCAGTTCTATGCTGGGTTACCATATGGAAGTCCCTTTGGCCACCCTGGCCAACAACTCAAAAGAAGGTATCGCCTGTCTGGCATTGTTGCTTGTTATGTAGCCTTTAGCTGTGCATATGGTCTCTTAAGAAATTATATTGGCCCCTTTTATCTTTGGTTATACTTTCCTTTTGGGTGTTTAAGACCATACAGTTGGCCCAGATAAACCAATTTATTTTTACTATTAAGGTCGTTTGAAGATCTGTTCCTCAGGGGTCACATGGGCTTGGGAGGAGCCCCTAGCTCCTTACTTTTACCAGTTCTGCCAATGTGAAGATAAGTAAAAGGTCCTTCTCGACCATGGTTGGCTTCGCTTGGAAGCATGGAGGAAATGATTCCTCTGTGTTGACCCTCCTCTTTGTAGACTGGACACTGGTTCAAGTCCATCTGGTGGGGTCTCCTCGGCCTCCTTGATCAAGAGGACAGGTGAACCACCACCATTATAGGACATTTTGAGAGATGCTCATAGTCCCCTGGAACTAGTCGACCTAGGAGGCAAGGAGCAAAAACTGTCCTTTATGTCCCTCTGACCAAATTATTATAGGCCTCCAAGTATGTCTGTTAAACATCCAAGAAAGTTAGTTCCACCAGTCTGCTACTTTGAATTACTGTGTGTCATGTAGATAAATCTTGGGCCAAGACCAGTTGTTCTCAGATAAACCTTACCTAGACATATATTTCTTGATCTGGTATGTATAATTTGTCAGAAGGTTGTAGGAGTAATATGGTTCCCTCTGGGTTTCAAAACTAGCTAGGTATTATTTATCTCTCACATTGTCTCACCCCCCATCATAGTTTTCCCACTAAGGTGCCTCCATTTCCCCCCTTTCTCCCTTACTAATACCCTTATCCTATGGTCCTAGCTCTCTTGAGCTCCTTCTTTCCCTTTATCCCCTAGGTTCCTTGTATACCCTTCCCTCCCCCCTCCCTTAAACTAACCAATAAAATGGCACATTTCTACACCCTCCTGAGCTTGTTTCCCAGCTGGTCGGAACTTCCCTGTCATGTCTTGTGTCCCTTTTGGGTAACCATATCCACAGAAGACCTAGAACTTACCTGTCTCCACACTTGAGGTTTCTAGTCTCCTTGCCCTACCCCAGACCACTCATGAAAGCACCACTAAAGGGGCAACATTTATTCCTTTTCCAAATGTTACAGTAAATCTAGGTGGAAGAAAATGGTTTTAGCAATTAGAAAAAACAAAAACAAAAAGTACAAATCTGGGCGTTTGGCGATTAAAAGTTATTTCAACAATGGGAGAAAAAGACAAGAAGTTGTTTCACATTACAACTCCCACTCCAACCCTAATACTTGCTTACTAAGTCAGAAAAGAGACACAGTTGATTCATAAACTGGAGTAAATCTAGGTGGAAGAAAATGGTTTTAGCAATTAGAAAAAACAAAAACAAAAAGTACAAATCTGGGCGTTTGGCGATTAAAAGTTATTTCAACAATGGGAGAAAAAGACAAGAAGTTGTTTCACATTACAACTCCCACTCCAACCCTAATACTTGCTTACTAAGTCAGAAAAGAGACACAGTTGATTCATAAACTGGAGGTTTGAACTTGAGTAAGACATTTATAAAAACCTAGATGGGGCAACGTCCTCCCCAGCCCAGATGCCACTAGGCACAGCAGAAGAGACTAAACTCAACAGGAGGAAGGCTGGAAACTCAGGGTTTGGGAGTATAAGCACCCCACTTTTGGCTCAGGGGTTTGGAGAGTAGGAAAAACAAAACCTACTTGGAAAAGAATTGGGAAGAAAACCAGCAACTGCCTTCAAAAGGGGTGGGGCCAGGGAAGGTGGGGACAGGAGCATTGCACATCACTAACTTAACTTGGGAAACCACAGGGGACCATCTTCAACTGGCCTTAAGAGGAAGAAGGAGATGAGGGGGAACAGTGGCTGGGAGGGGGCAACAGATCCCTTTCTGGGCACAGGAAGGCAGCCAGGGCACCAGGTCTAGGCAGTGACCTCACAAGGACAGCACAGTTTTTGCAGCTTAGAGATCACCCACTTGCTCCCAACCAAGCTACTTAATCTGCTCACTTTTGGCTAAGATCAATTGTAGTAAAGCTATTTTAAGAAACAAAACAAATTTTCCAGAGATGTTACAAGATCTGACCACACACAACTATTTAACATATTTACTTTGCCTTGAATGCACAGTTCATTTAAGTGAAGAAATAAATGTTTGGTTGTACTGGGAGATGAGGATATCACTTGGGTTTAATATTGCTATTTATAATCTCCATGGTAGTATTTTACTATATTATCATTTCCATGTTGAAAAGCACAAAAAATGAGATCTAATTAAAAACATCATAAAACTCATCATTTAAAATATACAATGCAAAGATTTATAATACAGTCCTAAGTAAGTGTAGCAATTACCTAATTCTTAAGAATAACCCTTTGTCTTATCTAGTTAGCAGTTGTAGCTCACAGGAAGGAGGTCAGAGGCAGATAACTAGATTCAGGATGTATTGCACAGTCTCCTATGCGACTCTTAAAGCCTTCTGTGGTACCTCCATAGCAGTATTAAACATAACTGGAGAAATGTAACATAATATTTATTAATTTTTTTTTTTTTTTTTGGTCTTTTTGAGACAAGGTCTCCCTGTAGCCCCAGCTGTTGTGGATTCACTATGGAGACCAGGCTGGCCTCAAACTTAGTGCTGGGATTAAAGGCGTGTGTTACCATGCCTGGCCAGTATTTATTAATTTTTAAAGTTGCTCTGTCCAGGAGGCTGAAGGCTACGACAATCTTCTTTTTTCTCGTAAATCCATCACACTATGTCTGTCTCCCTGTCTGGGAAAGGAATGCAAAGTTTCTTGTATGCCAGGCAAGTAAATGCTCAACCACTGAGTTATTATATACTAGCCCTCAAATGGAAGTGTAGTCTATGCTTCCAGGTACAAACTTAGCACTCACAAAACCCCAAATCTTTTATATATGTATGTATATATATGTATATATAAGGAAACAAGACGAGTTCTCCCTCACTTCCAATCTCTTTCAAACAAAGGCTTAAAGGAACAGGGGGAAGGAATTAACTACTATAGCAATATTAATGATGTTACCAATTGTTTTCGAGTCTTAATTACATATTCATACTTACTGATGTTTCTTCCTCCATCTCTAAAATGTAAGAAATTCCTTCATCTGATGGTGTTCCTGAGGGTTTACTCCATTGTAAGGACAACCATGTAACTCCAGCCTTAGCTAATACAGGACTGGCTGGCATAGAAGGAGCACAGCCTGAGGTGTAATATAAGACTTCTTCACTAAAATCACTATTGAAACAAAGGAAATGAATGGAAAGAATGATTTTTATAGTTAAAGAGAAATTGTTTCACTAATGACATTTTCACATAATGAAAACTTTAATTTTTTATTATTCTGGGGATCAAATCTAGGATCTTAAACATGGTAGGTCAGAGCTCTACGTTTGAGCTATATTCCCAGCTCTTGAAAATGAAAATTTTTAATGGATTTCAATTATCTTTAAGATAACCAGGTCAGATAATAAAAAAATGAATTAGTATTTGTGGTGTTTTGAATGAAAATATCCCCCATAGGCTCCAAGTATCTGGACATTTTATTCCCAGATGATGGCGCTGTTTGGGAGGTTTTTAGAAGGTGGAGGAAGCACGTCACTTGGGGTAGGCTTAGAGAATTCTTAAGCCTGGCCGGATCTTCAGTTGCTCTCTTGCTTCCTGTGCCTGCTTGACGATGTGAGAGCTTAACTTCTGCTGCTCCTGCTCCAGCCACCTCCAGCCACACTGCCTCCCCGCCATGATGGACTGTAATTCCCCGGGAACCGTAAGCTCAAATAAACTTCCTTCTATAAATTGCTTTGGTTAGTGTTTCTATCACAGCAACAGAACAGTGACTAATACAGTATTCTTTCAGATTTGTACTTTTGTTCAGATTTTTAAGCTTTTATGTGGTAATGTATTCAGTCAGTGAAGAAAAATACACACTACTTTGTAGGAAAGATATCAATGTAGTAAAAACCACCACATTGTACATTTTAAACATATTTCCATTTCCTATCATTTATATGAGACAGAAAATGCAGTTCCCAAATTACATTTATGTGTGGTAGAAAACACAAATTATGTAATTAAACTCACTGACCCTAATAAAGGTGTGTAGGGATTTTCTTCTCTAGAATAAAAGTAATTTCAATTTAAACACAGGGTCTGGAAGTAGGAGAGATGGTTCAATGGTTACGAGCATGGGTTGCTCTTGCAGAGGACCTGGGTTTGGTTCTTAGCACTCACATGGCTGCTAACAACCATCGGTAACTCCAGTTTCAAGGGATCTGACACCCTCTTCTGGCTGTCACAAGCACTGTATACACATGGTACACTTATATGTAGGCCAACACTCATATACATAAAATAAAAATTAAAATTAAAAAAGGCACAAGCTAGTTTGAGCTACATAATGAGACCCTGCTAGGAGAAAGAAAACAAAACTCATTATTTTCTTAACAGTTCCTATCATCATAAATAAGAATCATACTATTTAACTTCCAATTAAGCTTATTTATCAGAAGCATCCATTTTTTTTAACCTTAAATATTACTGTATTATTTCATCCCTAAATAACAGAAATTTGGGCCTTTCAAAAGGGGGAAAAAGGGGCAGGGAAGGCTTTCTATTTGAGTACCACAGATACTTCTGGAATCCACCAGATTTAAACAAAGCCATGAAAGCACATATGGTGAGGACTATTATAAAACACAAAACAAATGACAAAAAGCCTCTGAGTCACAGGCAGAGGCTTAATTAATATTTGAAACTGGAAAAGCTGAATTTTATCTATCTTGTGACCCAGTTCTATGCAGCTAACACATTCTTGTCTAGCTCTGCTAGACCTAGATTGTAACACGACCATATTAAATAAAGTTTCCCATGGGCAATTTGGACTGAATAATCATGTATATGAAGTGGACTAGATCATCTAAATATAAATGTTATTTTATAAAATGTCTTACCTTGTACCATAGTCATTTTTGGCTGATAATCTAAATTTACAACCCATTGCTGGTGATAGTTTGGTAATTTTAAATTGCTTCTGTGAGCCCATGTAGCACTGACAAAATTCTCCATTTCCTTTGCCCTAGAAGAAATGGCTAGTTAATATATATCACGTATACTACTATCAAGAGATAAAAACCATATCAATTCCTTTTTTATAGTTTACATGTACAGCTAGCATACACTAATAGTACTCTGTTACACATTAAGTCATGGATCTTTAGAGAAGGTTGAGACACTGAACATCTTATATATGATGTGGCTCATCAACTGCAAATTCCAAAACAGAAGTAGCTCTAAAATAAGTAACCTTGTATAGCTTCTTGGATTAAGTATGGTGTTTCAGTTAATGCTAACTATATCTTTGATATAGCTCTTTGATATAGTTCTATCTGAACAGTTGTTAAAACACCCATCCCTAAACTCTTTCCTAGATACTGCTAAACAGCTTCTGCTGACATTTAACACTGAAAGAATTCCAGCAGACAGAAGGGCCCAATTACAGATAGTAGGGAGGGAGAAAGAAAGGTAAACTCAGTCAAATGGAATTTTAGAAATTTGGGGTGTGAAAAAAAATGGACAAGTTCCACTGTCTCTATTTTGTGTTGTTGTTATCTTAGTAGAAGTAAAAGGTAGGGTTATTTCTTTAAAGAGCATCTGTATCTGGCTGTTAAACTGAAGTCTTATTATTTTTAATGGTATTTAGTTGAGTATAATGAGTAGTATAAGCACAAAAATCATATACTCTGAATGATGATGATTTTTGATCCCAGGTCTGGATACTACAGCTACACCCCCAGTTTCAGTTTAAAGTCATCATGTTGATTGTAGCTTCTTGAATAATATAAGTAAAGCTGGAGGAAAGTGGAATCTCTGGTTTCCACTTTAAACAGAAATGCCTTGTTTAGTAATGGTACAAAATTATTGAATAACGAATTAACTTTCTATTCCTACTTTGAGTTTTAACTGGATTAGTGCTAAATTTTATCAAATACCCTCTCATTGTTTATTAAGATGACAAAGTGTTTCTTCTGTACTACAGTGGTGTTAAAAGCAAGCTTATTCTGAATTTTTTTAGAATTTCTAGAATAAAACCTTCTTAGCTATGTTTTATTAATTCTTTTAATATACTGTTAATTTCTCAAATTATCAATGAAACTTCCATCTGTCTGGTCCTTCCTCTTTGCTTGGCAACAAGATAAGAGAGAATAGGAGAAGAGACAACAAAATAATTCACTAAACACACTGTGCTTGCCATGGCTGCAGATGCGCAGAACCCAGTCCACAGACTCTGAATGCTACCTTGTATGGTGACAGTCTGAACAACAAGGTTACATTTAGGATCATAGAAAGAAGTTTATTTTTGATTATCTGGATGGACCACCATGGCCTTCTAAGATGAAGATTTAAGACAGAAGAGTAAGGATATGATGTGACAAGGTCATGTAATGAGAGCAAAGTAGCAAGGACAAGAAAATAGTCTCCTCTAGAGCCCCTGGAGGGAGCAAGGCCATGCCTACAACCTTGTTTCTGGCCCACTGATTTCACATTTCTGGCCTCTAGAACTGTAAGAGAATGAATGTGTTTTAGTAATCAGGTTTATATCTGTCATAGCAGCCAGAAGAGATGAGTAGTCTCACTATTAAGATGTTATAGGAAAAAATAGTGCCTTCATGGAGGTGAACTACAAAACAGACAGCTGTTTTAAAAATGTTTGTTATCATCATTATTACTATTTTTTAATTAGAGATCAAATACAGAGTCACAAGTCTTGTTAGACTGGCTAAATTCCACCACTGGGCTATACCCCCAACTCCTCATGTGCCAATTTTGATAGTGATTTTCTTGAAAACACAAACAATTCCCCTCCCCTGCAAACAGGGAGGTTTAGTCAGTAATGTTTTCAAGGAACACTAGCAGTCCACCCACCCCATAAAACTGTACACACTGTTTCTGAAAGAGAAATACCACTAAAACATACCAAACATCATTCTTCCTGAAGATACACACATAATTTTAATCATTAAAAAAGATTCAAGTAACTTACCTCATCCCATTCTAAAATAAAGCTTTGGATTTTAGAGCCATTGTCACTAGGTGCCTGAAACAAGATAAAAAAGGTGAGCAGAAATCAGCATCATTATAAATAACACTGTGATGATGTACGGAATCTACTTTATGCTGCAGTAGTTAAGAGCACTTGCTACTTTTGCAGAGGACCCAGGTTTGGTTCTCAGCACACATACAGAGGTACATAACCATTTGTAACTCAGTTCCACTGGGCCCAATATCCTCTTAGAGCCTCTGTGAGCAACAGGTATGCATGGGTTGCACATAAATATATGCAGGCAAATACTAGACCTAAAAAAATATCCACAGAAAAACAAAACAAAGAGACCATTTAAAATTTCTGAATACTTAGTAATCTCTTTTAGTTTTATCAGGTTCAGGGTCTCACTTTTAATTTAAGTACTAAAACTCAAGTACAATGTAAATGGAATGAATATACCTTGTAATATACCACAGAATAAAGAACTAGGGTACTGAAGGAATAGGTGAACACAGTATTTGAGTCTTTTGCTGTTAGACTCAGTGTGCCCATCACTTGAGATGAATACCCAGTAATCTGTTCACGTTTAGGGGAAAATACTCCCTCAGTATTTCACTGTAGTATTTAACCACTCTGGAAATGAGACTTTCAATCTTATTTCTAACTCTTTTCCTCCTACAATTTCAATCCACTTCTTTTTTGTAGAACAAATGATCACTACTGTTTTAACAACTTCATAGTTATAGAAACCTGACTCTGAGGCTCATAACAATTTTAAATTTTGAAATGCTTTTGCATAGAACTGTAATTTTTCTGGATTTGGTCTAGTTTTTATATAATATCATCAATTATGAAAACAACAATAAAAGATCACTAGATTTTTAATACAGTTCTATAACTTTTTATAGCATGGAGGTCTAGATCATCTGTTGAATGCTAATACTGACTGACACAACAATGGAAGTTTAAAGTGAAGATATTGACGTTTCTTGGGAAATTCCAACTCTTCTCTAACAGAGGAAGAGAATTCAAAGACAGAGTTACAAGTCTCAGTAGGGAGAGAGCAGATAAAAATTTATTTCCCAAGAGTTAATGATTCCAGATTGCTTTAGTCCAGTTGCTAAAGTCTCATGTTTATTTTAATTTTCCTTTTTCAACCTGAGGTCCATCTTCCAATTTTTTCTTAAGTTAGAGGGAAAACTATTATGTGTCAAGTACCATACCTCTTTTAATTATCACATCAACTTAAAGAAATAACATTACTCAAATATTACAGAATAGGAAATGAGGCCTTCAAAGAACCCCAGTAAGTTGTCCCAAATCAGCATAAGTCACTATGAATGATGAAGTTGGTCTCATGGTATGGACCTGTAATTCCAGCTACTAAGAAGTGTAAGTCAGATGGATAGCAAGTTCAAAAAAGGGGAGGAGTACTGGGGATGTAAGTCAGTTATAGAGCGTCTAGCAGGTAGAAGGCCCTAACTTCAACCCTCAAAGCCCTAGTATGGTGGGGGGAGGCATGAAGGGGGAGAGAACTGAATTTTAGTCATTTGACTCCTAACCTATATTTCAACTAAACCGTGTCCTGGGTGTTAAGCAGGTCCACCTCACTCCTGGCAACAGAGTAAACTACCAGTTTTAGAGTTTTATCATCACTATTGAATGGATAATTCCAAACAATGTCAAAGGATAAAACACATCTCTTACCTGCTACCTTAACTGCTGACTCATGTCACTGTTAAGCCATGCTAGCCCCATGGAAGAGTTTTTACATAATGGGGCAGCAGATGCAAAGGATAGATAGTCAAATGACTAAACTAAGCAAGTTTAAAAATTAAATAGTAGTTACTACACTGTTATGTTCTGGGCATAAAGGGTAAGAAATTACCTATTTAATCTTGTCACCAACTAAAGTATATAATATTCTCACTGGTAACAGGGAAATTGGTAGCTCTTTCTTCAACTGTCCTGGTAACCGTGTGTTTACAGAGCCATTTCCAGAAATGTCCAAGACTGGGCAACTTGCAGAATGATCACTTATCTATATTGTATACAGAGCTGTTGGGATGTTGCTAATGGAAGAAATTTTAAGATCAAAATTTAATTATCTTCAGAATGTAGGGAAATCCAAGCTACATGGAGAACCCTGAGTTGCTACCCCAAGTCCTCTACCAAAAGAAAGGGCTGAAGTATATTCATCAGTAAAAGGACCCAGGTGAAATAACTAGTCAACTATTTTACCACACATAAAAAATGTCTGCATTGTAAGCATGTGTGTGTGCTGTGTATGCTAAGAGAATTTGTTAATTATATAAAACATTACATTTTCTTAAAACAAGGGGTTAACAGGCCAGATAGCCAGTTTGGGGCAAACAAAAACCCCAGATTTTGGGTTCAGAAGCAGAGGAGATTTGCTCTTGAAGTGTGAGAAGATGATTGAATGAAGGTTAAGAAACACTATTTTACTGCAAATCCACAGCTGCTAACTGGGTAGTAGTCTCTTCTAGGGAGGGGTTTGGAACTTTTGTGAGGGTTTTTCTGACCTGACCATAATAATGCAAGGGAAGAAAGCAGCAAATGGCTATGGTGCAGATAAGGGTGATCACAGTCCTGGAGAGTCCACGGGGCAGAGGACACAAAAAGAAAATGCTCCTTTATTGAGGATTTTTGGATGTCTTGTGCCCATGTAGTAAGTACCTTTATAATAATTAGAATCTAATTTTATTTTATTTTTCCCTTATGGCCTGAACAGACATTATTTTCTCAAAATACAACTACTAGACACTTTGGGATGATTATACTTAATTTTCTTCAGAAACTGACCAGGATCTGTATACTATTACAGAGAATCATGTCAACTATGAAAATGCTGCCCATGGTATCTGATGACCTTGTAAGACTAATTCCATGGATAGTGTCCATTTACTCTATTTTATAAATTAAGTTGCTGGAAAAATGTCACACCTATGTTGAAGATTCTACAGGATGACTACCTGATTATAACTTAATAGTATTTCGGAGAGTTGGGATGCTATAGATCAAGGGCCAAAACCATCTTGGGTTATCTTTAGGCCCCCTTCATACCCATTCATTGTCCATCTCTGTATTCTGACTTACCGCCCTTTTGACCATCATATAAAAACCCTTTGGAATGCACTCTTCAACTACTACCTTCTACCAACCACAAAGCTAAGAATGTCATCAGATACATCCTAAAGCGTATAGCAGACATTTCTCCAGTTTGTTTTAACTTGTCTACTTAATGTGGCAACTCAGTAGGCCACAAAACAAAACAAAGAGACATGAATGGGGAACTTGCAAGGAGGGAACTTGATAGCGGTGAGAGGGAGATAGAAGAGAATGAAGTAAGAATAATCAGAATGCATTATATACAAGTATGAACTTGTCAATGTATTTAATGAATAAAAACTGAAGGGAAAATTTGAAATAAAAGAAACTGGTAAAAGTCCTATCATTTTCATTATTGTAGAGATGGTTATACTGAATATGTCATGTATTGTAGTTGTATGGATGGTAAAGGAAGAACAGAGCAGTTTCCTTTTGTTCCTTCTATATCTAACTCTTCACTATTACTAACGACACTATTTTCTGCGTGTGAGTGAACAGCACTGGCCTTTCAGATGCAGATCATTACAGCTTCATAGCTTTTCACATCTATTAGGTACAAAAGGTGACTAGCTAATTTATTTATGTAAAATCTACATGTGAGTTGTCGTCTATCCAGGGATTATAAACATAGATACAATGCAATGAGAAAGAAAGTTCATGTAATCACTTCCATGGTGGAACATGCTATTCAAGAAACCTGCACGTGTATTCTCAAGCCATGATCACTCTTATTTTGTTCCAAATAAATTACCTTTTGTTCCACTTATGGTGAAAGCTATACTTTCACAATTTATATATTAGAATATCTATTATTTTATTATGAACAACTTTATTTCTCTTAATAACTTTCTCTTTAGGGTATCATGTTGATATACTTAAGTTTAAAAAAAAAATTACTTATTTTTATGTGTGTTTTGTCTGCATGTATGTAAGTGCACCCATGTCATCCAGTGCCCAAAGAGGCCAGAAGAGGGCATCAGATACCCTGGAACTGGAGTTACAGATGGTTGCTAGAAGTCAAATGGGTGCTGGGAATCGAACCTAGGTTCTCTTCAAGAGCAACCAGTGCTCTTAACTGTCGAATCATCTCTTCAGGCCCCTATGTTGATAATATTGAAAGCTATAATTCTAGTTATGAATCTGATTTGGATAAAATCTGGGCTATAAAGGTGTAATTACAAGATAATTTGAAGAGGAATAGTAGACTGAGATTAATTACAAATCTCAAGGTCATCATGTATTATAAGGACTAGCAATTATAAATTACTTTTTTTTTTTTCTTCTATGAATCAGATCACCAAGAGTTATCTGAAAGCATTAAGAAGCAAATGTCCGGGGCTGGAGAGATGGCTCAGCAGTTAAGAACACTGACTGCTCTTGCAGAAGACCCTGGTTCAAATCTCAGCACCCACATGGCAGCTAACAACTGTCCAAACTCCAGTTCCAGGGGATCTGACAGCCTCTTCTGCCCTCTGCAGGCATTGCACAACATGGGTGTACTTACCTACATGCAGGCAATACACATAAAATAAAAATAACAATAAAATATTTTTAAAAAGAAGCAAATGTCCATTTTATATGTATAATGAAAAAAAACAGGTCATTTAGCTTCATGTTCCTCTGGTCTCCAAAAACTTAACACAACTGGGGAAAGAGAAGGAAGAAGAAATGTTTACTTAGAGATACTCTACAGAATATTCAGAAATACTCTACAGGATAGTCTTACCTTCCACTGCAAGGTGAGTGAGTTTTTGGTCCGGTTGGCTATCCGTGGTGAATTAGGTACATCAGGCTCACAGCTCAAGGTAGTGAAGGTCTCGGCTTCTGAAGGAATTCCCTTTATAGAACTGGACTCTGCCTGCACTCTGGAAAGAAAATAGGTTCACCTCATGGAATCACTCTATCTCATTTTCAAAAGCATCAGCTTTAAGTATTTGCAAATTACTAATGTGCCTTCTAAATATTCAAGGAAACAGGAGTATCATTACAGAGATAGAGAGCAGCCCTTAAAAACAATATAAACCAGTGGCTTTATTTTATTCTAGCTCAAAACAAGAAAAACACTTCAAACTGTGACATACATATAATAAATTTATAAAAATAATCATTTTCTAAAACAGTGTTGTTAATACACTGATTTTTTTTTTTTTTAATTCCATTTGAGTCTCTCGTTGATTTAAAAAATGCTGGCCAGGCATGGTGGCACACACCTTTAATTGAAGCACCCAGGAGGCAGAGGCAGGTGGATCTCTGTGAGATCAAGATCAGCTTGGTCTACATGGTGAATTCCAGGCTAGCTGGGACTTCCCTAGACAGGGAGTTCCTGTCTTAAAAACAAAAGGTCAAAATAACCCACACAATTAAATCTAGGATTCAATAATGGTTATAATTCATAGTTTGAAATATTAGGTTGGGCAACAGTTAGGGGTTAAGTATAGGAAAACTTGCAGTGTTAATGTTTAATAGGAATACTCCTAATTACAAATGTTCTTTTCAAAACTGGGTGATTGAGGAGTGGAGTGATGGCTCAGCAGTTAAGAGTACTGGCTGTTCTTGCAGAGGACCTAGGTTCAGCTCTAGGCTAATAGCCTAGATCCCCTGGAACTGGAGTTACAGATGGTTGCTAGCAGTAATGTGGGTGTTGGGAATCAAACCTGGGTCCTATGTTGCAGTTAACAATTGTCCCTAACTTTTGTTCCAGAGGATCCAACACCTTCTTTTGGCCTCTGTGGGCACTGTACAAATGTGGTGGACTTATATGCAGACAAAATACTCATAACATATAAAGTAAAAATATATAAATCAAAAAAATGTTTTTTAAATCTTAAGAAAAAAAAAACTAAGTATTGGGTTCCTGCTGCGGATGCCATAAGGAAAATTTTAATAAGATACTCTAGAAAACTGTAAGGCGTTATCTGAATTACTCCTATTTAAATGTTATGAAATTCTGAGAGTTTTAACATCCTAAGCTCTTTCAAAACATGATGTAGTCATATACACAAGAATAAACCAATTGTTTTTTATAAACATTTCAAGAGCTAGGACAAGTTTCCAGTACTGAATTAGATACTGTAGACACATTCTAAATATTCAGTGTAATTCCTTCATCCCACAAACAAGATGATTAGCCTTTCCTTTACTATTATGTTGAAACTTCAATCAAATGTTTTTGGGTTATTTTGAGAAATGATGATGATTATGCCAACAGGGAAATTCAAAGTCCAAGTTTTTATTCCAAAATATACATTAGACTTTAAAAGAAACCATTAAATAGAAAATCATTAAATAAAAATAACAGGAAAATCAAACCCTAACCCTATGTTGTATCAATCACATTAAAATCAGCATGTAAAAGATGCTTCTTACTTTGCATGGTAGTCTGTGGCTGGTTTGAGATCATTTAAAGTGACACTCGTTTCTTCTCCTCTATGGTAGGAAAAAAGTAGTATTTCAGTGTCTGATAAAAGAAAGCTTTTGAAAGGATATATAAATCACATACGTTACATATTAATTGTCTATGGTATTTTATGATATTATATCACATGCTTCTTTACCAACTATAATCATCCTTGAGATTTTACTAATACAGAATTTGTGCAAGTAGAAAGTATGAAGAATTTTAACCATGTACCTTTTAAGAACTTTAAATAAAAAGGTTTGCTAAGCAAATTAAGTGTGAAAGCTAGACCTTTTTCTAGGGATGGGGTAGGTAGAGTCAGAGAAGATATTTAATTCCTGAAGAAATGGAATCATTTTCAATTATTTAAAAAATCCATTTTTGCAAATCAAATACTGAATAAAATGTGCTACTGGAAACAAAACTGACAAGTTTTAAAAAGGACTCTTGTTGCTGTTTCATTTTATTAGAAAAAAATGATACTTTATAATTTCACTTTGGGTTAATAAAAGTTAGTCATAATTTACCTATGTGTCTACAGTACAGGGGTGGGGTCAGGTTCGGGACCTTATGCATGCTAGGTAAATGCTCTATACTAATGTCCATTCCTGGGCCCATGATTTCAAGTATTTCTAATATCTACTACTACACTTTTAAATATAAGAAATACCTCTTAATAATCATACAGCCGTTTTGTTGGGTATGCACCCACACCCACTGCTCCTTCCGTTCTTCTTCCTCCATTTTCTTCTATCAGTTTCCTATTCTATTTCTTTCTACTAAGTCTCTCTCCTCCTCACTTATGGACTACTTCTTCATCTTACCTACTAACCTCTGCCCCCTAATCAAATCAAAACCAACAAATAGAATTGAGAAAAAAAAATGTGTTATCAATGAAGGTTAAAACATATTAGGAACTCAGTAGCTGCTGCAGATTTTGAGAAAGGCTAACTGGTGTAGGATAAAAAAAAAAGAGGCCTACTGTCCCTCTTATGCTCCCTGGTTGGACTGCAAGTGGAAATAAATCCTTCTCAGTAACATCTAACTAGAAATAGCTTTAACACAAAAAGAAACCTTATGGTCTCTTGCCCTATAGGTTGGCTTACTTGTTTCTTTTAAGTGAATGAGTATGCTCCAGTGGCTGGCCCCACACCCATGTATATATGGGTAGCATGAATTGGACTCAAAAAGTTGGGAGGGAGATGGGGACACGGAGGGGGAGCAGATCCAGGAAGAGGGAGTAATGGGGATATGTGTACGGTGATTGAAATACATCATATACACATATGGAATTCTGAAAGAACAAATAAAAATATTGTATTTAAAAAGACCGAATGAATAAACATACATGAATCTCACTAGAAAGGAAAATATTTTAATAAACTTGAATGATGAGATGGGAGTCACTGAGACCAATTTCACTTTGCTGTCTTTTCCTTACCAGCTGTATTTTATGTTCTGATCTCTTAAATAATTAACCTCCTCTTCTTTTACAATAACCTTTGCTATGGTTAAATTGTAACTAATAATTGGTTTTACTCTTTAAGAACAAAGGAAAAAACTATTTAAAAGTTGCCAATCATAAACACCACAACTTGGGCCACTGGTAATTTCTAAGGTTTCTTGGTGTACAGTATAGTTTTGAACTGAGGAATGAGAACTACGACAGGTTTTCAACATGATTAATATACTGACATACCAATGAGGAACTCTTGGGACTAAGTCATTTTATAGAAGAAAAAGAGCTTGTACATGCAAGAATTAAATCCTCAGAGGAGCAAGATACTTCATGAGCAAATTCACAATGAAAAGCTCTCTGTTTCTTGGCCTAGGGTTCTACATGCTACAATTACATAAATCATCTACTATGGCCTATCAGGAGGAAATATGTGAATACAGCTAGCTAAAGTGACTGTTCTGAGGGAGTGTGGTTAGAAATGTGTACCAGCCTGCATGTTGAGAACTGTTTACACTGAAACCACTGCCACTGTTCAACTTAAAGATCAAAATAAAAACACGAAGAGCAAAATTAGTAATAAGCTCTTTACCACAAACCATTAACTTAGACAACGGGAAAGAGCAAACTAACCAACACCTACACATAAACACTTTTGTATCTCCCTTCCTTTCCAGTACTTGAGACCAGGATTTCGTAACTGCAGAGCTCTGGCATAGGAGTCTCATTTGTTTCGCCATTAATGAAACTGGAAGGCGGTGACCAGGTAAGCATGACTGTCCTTGCCTGGATGTCTGAGGCCTACAAAACAAAAACAAAACACCAACTTAAAAGCTCTCTGAAATGCACGGGCACAGTGAGCAGTGAAATATTTAATGGGATGACAAGACTACATAAAATAACAGCTCTACGAATCTACATAAATTGGCTCACAAACAAACATTTCCATTTATATACCAGAAGTAATTTGCTATAAAGGAAAATTTAAAGATCAATATGGCTGATTCAAAAGAAAAAGAAAAAGATGGGATAAAAAGGAACTTTTAATTTATTTCAAAAAAGTTCACTTCTCAACTTATCAAGTATTACTATAATATGAAGGAAACAATGTAATTTAAGAGAAAAAAATGAACAAATGACGTGATTCATTCAGAGAAACAAACATAAATGCACCACATATGAAATGGTATGTTTGTCACTCAGCATCAAACAAGCACACATTGAAATACAATGCTACAACTATCAGACAGGAGAAAATTAAAAAGCTAATGTTTCTTATTATGTTGAGGATCCAGAGAAATGGGCATCATAAAAGTGGAGAGGAATGTATATTGGTTATCGCCTTTGCAAGGCAACTCAGATAAGATTTTAAATGTGTTTTCCTTTTTAAAATTTTTGATTTACTTATTTTTATTTTGTGTGTATGAGTGTTATATCTATCATGTGTGTAAGTGCACCTGTGTTGTGCAGTGCCCACGGAGACAGGAGAAGGCATCTGATCCCCTGGAACTGGAGTTAAGGACAGTTGTTAGCTGCCATGTGGGTGTTGGGATTTGAACCTGGGTCTTCTGTAAGAACAGCCAGTGCTCTTAACCACTGAACCATCTCTCCAGCCCCTCTCACGTGTTTTCTTAAAAATAAAGATATTTTGACCCTATGTGTATGAGTGTTCTGCTTGCATATAAGTGCATCATCTGTGTGTAGTGCCCGTGGAGGCCAGAAGGAGTCAGATCGTATGGAACTGGAGTTACAGATGGCTGTGAGCTACCATGTGGGTGCTGGGAACTGAACCTAGGTCCTCTACAAGAGCAGTAAGTGCTCTTTAACCACTCAGCTATCTTTCCAGTTCCTAGTTTGTTACAGGCAGTCTCACAATATAGCCCAGACTAAACTAGAACTTTAGATGCTCCTGCCTCAGCCTCCTGAGTACTGGGATTACAAGCATGTATACTACCACATTAGGCTATATTTACTTTTAAAGAATTTTAATTTCAATTTTTTCTCCCTCTGAATATTTCATAACTTAAAAAAATACACAGTGGGGGCTGGAGAGATGGCTCAGTGGTTAAGAGCAGTGACTGCTCTTGCAGAAAACCAGGTTCAATTCTCAACCCCCACATGGTGGCTACGAACTATCCTTAACTCCAGTTCCAGGGGAATGCGAAGCCCTCTTCTGATCTCCATGGCATTGCATGACGCAGGTGCACTCACATACATGTAGACAATACACTCATAAACATAAAATAAAAATAATATTTAAAAAAATACACAAGTATATACTTCAAAATGCTCACTGTACTGCTATTGTTGTATTTTATTTATTTTTATGTGTACGAGTATTATGCTTGCATGAATATAAGTGTGCCACAAGTGTGAAGTGCCTATGGAGACTAGAAGAGGGTGTCGGATTCCCTGGAAGTGGAGTTGCAGATGGTTATTGGCTGCCATTTGGGTGCTGGGAACTGAACTGGGTTCCCCGGAAGAGCAGAAAGTGCTCTTAACTGCTGAGCCATCTCTCTGGCCCCTCCCTGCAACATCATTAATGGTGAAAAACTGGAAATACAGGGCACTGATTTTCTAAATAATGGTATGGTCTCTATTTCTATTCAGTTCTTTAAAAAGAAAAAGGAAAGACATCTATGTGCTGATAAAGGTCTCATTAAAATATGGTGGTACATAATAGTGGATAAAAAAAAGTTGAAAAGTAGTTTATTGTATAATTGGTTTGTTAAAAATTTTTTAAAAATGCACAGAGATGCCTGCAAATATACTGTACAAATGTGTGGTTACCTTTTGGGATTTTTGTGTATGCGTGTGAGGATACGAGGAGAGATGTAGAAGAGCTGGTTCTCTTCTTCCATCTTTACATAGGTTCCTGGAATCAAACTCAGGTCACAAAGCTTGAACATCAAGTGCCTTTACCACTGAGCCATTTCACTGTCCCAAACATTTATTTTCAAGTGAGTTTTTGTGTAAATTCCTATCTAATCTCTAGATCATTTTTCCTCTTTATTAGATTTTTACAATAAAAGGGACATATATTCACAAATTTATTCCAGTAAGAACAAATAGGTATAAAATACAATTGAAACTTCTTAGAATGAATTTAGATTTTTCAGAAAAAATTGAGAAGGTAGCATGTAGAATTTTTTCCTGTCTCTATTTGCCACTTGGATTTCCTAATGTTAAGATGTTATATATAGCCATGCATTTTTATCAAAATTATTATTAACACTGGGAAATACTATTCTCTATAAGCCAGGCTCTATCTTTATTAACTAAGCAGACCTTTTGGGGATACTATGTTCAATTTAGCAAATAAAACATAAAATAAATTTAAAACATATATTTAAACTTTTCAGGCATATTGTAAATTTTGATGTTTTTACAGAAAAACGTTTGATAAAATATTTTCTTACTCACACATATTAAGACACAAAAAGAATGACTGATTACTCTGGGGTGAGTTATTGGAAATTTTTTCTTATTTATTTAATAACTTTAAATAGAACTTTCTTACTTTTGTGGGTTTTTTTTTTTTTTTTTTTTTTTTTTTTTTTTTTTTTCCCAGTAGCCCCAGCTGGCCTGGAACTCACTTTGTAGACCAGGCTGGTAGACCAGGCTGTGGCCTTGAACTCACAAAGATCCACTTGTCTCTGCCTCCTGAGTGCTGGGATTAAAGGCATGTGCCACCATGCCTGGCCTTACTTTTGTATTTTTGAGACAAGGTCTCATTTTATGGGCCAGGAAGCCTATAACTCACAGGCATATACATTCATACTTAATGTTTAAGTAGAATTTTAAAGGACTTGGAATGGGATATAATTTGGTAGAAAAGTAGGTGACTAATTTATGAATAAATGATTCATTTTCTTAAGTGTATACATACAAGCTAATTTTCTGAGGTACACTGTATATTTTAAAAAGCTACCTAGCAATTTAACTTTCATAAAAACTAGATTAAGGAAGAGAAAGAGGGGAAAAGATAAAGGACCACTAAAAGGATTATAGGAGGTAGGAAGACAGATGTATCTTGTAAGATCAAGACACAGTTAAAAATACTAAGTGATCAACTGTCAGTTACTGTATGGCAGTTAAGAAGAAGGAATGTAATGTGAACAACACTTAAAAGGGCTGTCCTATATTGCTGGCTTCAGGCGAACTGTAAAGAATTGTATAGAAGATGGGGCTGGGAGATGGCTCGGTGGTTAAGAGCAATGACTGTTCTTGCAGAAAATCTGGGTTCAAATCCCAGCACCACATGGCAGCTAACAAACATATGTAACCCCAGTTCCAGGGGATCCAATGCCTTCTTCTGTCCTCTGCAGGCACTGCATGACATGGGTGCACACTTACATGGATGTACAAAATACACACACACACACACACACACACACACACACACACACAGTAAAAATAAAAACAAACTTAAAAAAAAAGAATTGTATAGAAAACACAAAGTAGACCCTACCAGCTACTGTGGAATTCCTGTGTCAGGAAGAGGCAATAACCAGAGTCAAGGAGAAAGGCAGGGAAGTGCAGATACTAGAAACACAAAGTGATAAACTGATAGTCTGTCCTTAAATTTGGCAGGGGGAGACTCAAAGACAAAAAAAATCTAAGATAATACTGACATTATGGCCTAGAGAAACTCAGATGAACAACCATTCATTGATGGATATACTGAAAAACACAACAGTAGGGGGTCCAATTCAATTTCTTTATTTTAGAGAGACAAAGGAGGTAGTTTAAAATATAAGATGAACTGTTCTTTTTTAGAGTTCCTGGCAAGGGATCCCAATGAGGCACGCTTCAGTCGTTGACTTAGCTCTAGAGAAAGAGGTGAGTCACAAGGGTTGGAAATACTGATTTAGAAACCAGCTAAACTTGTCTCCTCCTATATGCTGCTTTAGAAGTAAAAGTCCACATCCACCTCATTCGCTTCTTACAAATGCACTCTATAGTAGGCAAAACAGGCATAACTGTCATTCTCTAGAAGTAACATATAAAAGGGTAGACTTGTCTTAGGTCATCCAGCCAATGACCTGCCTCTGAGTACTTCAGTTCCTCCGTTACACAGCAACTCCATACTGACTCTAGTTCCAGGCAGCAGTTGAAAATCGATGTAATGTGTAAGAATATGTATGAAAAATGACAACAACCAAATGTAATGGGCATCTGAAAATGAAAACAGCTCTTTTAGAAAGTGGTTGGATTATGTATGCTGTTTTAATTTTTGAGGCAGATTGTGGTGCTTGTCAGATAGTTATCAAAAATCATCCTTGAGAAAAGCTGTTTGTCAGTTTATATTAAAGGAAACTTAAATAGGAAGCTAATCTTTTAAAAAATTCAGAACTACATAAATGGCATGGATTCTGACAAAGATTAGAGACATAGAAACGACAGTATTTCATTTGTGGATTTCCAGAAATACTAAAGCAGGAGAAAAACCAATGCTTAAGCCTTGTATGGATATGTGATTCAGAAAAGAATAGCCAGGGCAGGAGGACTCTGAGTTTGAGGACACCCTGTATTACCTAGTAAGATATTGTCTCAAAAAGCAGTCACAAGCCGGACGTGGTGGCACATGCCTTTAGTCCCAGCACTCCGGAGACAGAAGCAGGTGGATCCTTATGAGTTCAAGGCCAGCCTGGTTCACATAGTGAGTTCAAGTCAGCTGGGACTATAGGGAGTCCCTGTCTCAAAAAGACGAAAAAACCCAAACAACAACAACAACAACAACAACAAAACCAGTTACACACAAAACAAGAGTTAGGCTTGAGGAACCTGGAGTTAAATAGCAATCCTAATAACCATGAAAAGTAAGGAGTGGTGAATAGGTCTGGAAGAAAAATGGTAACAAGTAAAAGGCAAAATGTGTTAAATTTAAAGCATTATTAAAATAGAGATGCTTGGTTTTGAAAGAAATGACACAACAATTTCAAAGATTCCCGAGTAAAAACACAAACACTTCAATACAGCGTTTGACTCGACGAGAGCACACCACCATTCTGCTTCATTTTATGGAAGAAGAAATGGCTTCAGAAAGCCTTACTGACTTTCCAGGTCACTCAGTCCCTAAATGCGCAGCTCACACTGAGACAAGGCACACATGACTTTTCCTGCAGAGTGGACTGGAGTTTCCTGAGTGAAGACAGCCTTTTTTATTCACGTGTGCAGGCATGTATAATGCTTATGTGAACCTCAAATGTGCCATGCCCAGTGACTTTTCCAAACTGTCTCAAACACCCCTGCCCATCTACAAGACCCAACCACTACTTTGCCTTTAAACTTCAGTTTAACTACTCTTTCAGAAGAAAATGTCCCTACCAACTTTGCCAAGGTTTAGTTCCCCTATTAGATACATGCGAAACATTCTATCTCTGTTCTGGCACTGCACACTTAATAACTGACATTTACCACATGAAGATGATTCTATTAAAGTAAGCTCTGGTAGGGCTCATGCCTATGCTTTTTAGTCTATCTCCAGCTCTTAGCATAGCAAATGGCATTTTATACGTGGTCAGATATTTGTGGAGTAAGTGGATGATAAATACATTTGATTTGGTGATCTCAAAGAGCTAGAACTTAATCCCAGCACTTGGGAGGCAGAGGCAGGCAGATCTCTGTGAGTTCAAGGCTAGCCTGGTCTACATAGTGAGTTCCAGGACACTGGGCACACACAAATCTCTGCAGCTCATAAAATTAAAGAAGTACAGCCAACTGTAAATAGAAGCTAAAATAAAATAGTAAATTACCTTTTTCTTTTTTTAGCATTATGATACAGAGCTTATTACTTTGCTACATTATCTCTTTTTCGGGCCAGGTATAACCACATCAATGACCAGCACAACATATGGCATTGGTGCGGTAGTGGTACTTTTTATCTCTCAGGCAAGCAACAGCTACCTAATTGGACTAAAAGCCCACTCAGTGGAAGAAAACTCATGAGTGGTACTATAAATGTAGCCAAATACACATAGCTAGAGAGGTCATAGATCTTAGAGAAAGCCCCAAGACTATCACATCCCTAGACTAATGTGATTTCTTCCTATGTGTAAAATATGTATCCTTATATTTACAGACAAAAATCCTAGTCACCACTCATCAAAGAAGCTTATTTTGTACCAGTCGGGACACAATTATGAAGTACAAGTGGTCACACACAGACATTGTCTGTGAATCTCTTAAAATTGTTTTAACTTCACTTTTTGTGTCTGAAAATTACATTTTTAATATTATCTACAAAACCCAGCGAATATTTGTTAGTATTTTGTCATTCAAACATAAATCTTATGAAGGCTAGAACTTCCTTTTCAAATAAAGCTAGTGCGGAAAACTGAGATAAACAGCTCTTGAGAAGAATGCCTACATTTCTAGTGTGGGTCTCCTAGCACTTAGCCCCTCACTTCTGCTTCAATTTCCTTATCTGTAGAAGAGAGAAAACAGCACAGAATATGTTTTTATAGGAATCAAATAATACACGTATGATTTGAAATACTTTGAACAGAGACTGATATCAGTCAACTTGTGTTAGCTATTATTATGAAATAATAATTTAAACTTATATTTATTTGTATGTATCCGCTCCATTCTTAAAGGAAAACAAATCAGAATAAAAGAAAGCTAGAGTGTTCAAATTTACTATTAGGAATTCAGAGGAAAAAGTAAGATAAAAGTAGCCTATTAGATGAGGGAGAGGCTTACTCAAACTTTTTAAAAGGAGGCAAAATTAAAAGATTAACTTTTGTGGGGAGGATGTTAAGAACAGTGACTTTCAGGCTGGAGAGATGGCTTAGCAGTTAAGACCCGGGTTTGAATCCCAGCACCCACATGGCAGCTAACAACTGTCCATAACTTTGGTCCCAGGGTATCCAACAGCCTCTTCTGTCCTCTGCGGGCACTGCACGACACGGGGGCATTTACCTGCATGCAGGCAATACACGCACACACACAGAATAAAAATAATAAAATAAAAAATAAAAAAGAATAGTAACTTTCGTTTTTTGAAAAAGCAAACAAAAAATTCAAAATTTTTCTTTGCATACAATATGTTACCATGAATTTTGGAGGGTGAAGTGGTAGAATTCTTTCTAAGTTGAAACATTTTTATCAATGTCAAATGGCCTTATTCTGTCTGGAAAAACCCTATGGTTTCTTCTACCACGTCTTGTACTGCTCTTTCTACACCACAGTGATGACACCTTTTCTATCTGACCACCATGCCATGCTCACTAACTCCTGTTCTCCCTCTCTTCCAGATTCTGTACTTTTTCCTTCCTCAGAGCTTTAGAGATGGTTTTTCCTGATTGCTTTATTAGCACAATAATGCACCAACTCTTCTCAGATTACCTTATTTCTATACTAGCACTTGACTGTACATGTTTTAGTTATTGACAGATAGAAAGGGATCAGCAAGTATCTTCTGAATGAATAAATGAACAGGTGTTTCTTTAAAGAATAATATAATGACACAGGAAGATGCAGCACAGTAAGTGATTAAAAACCTGCCACAGGAACCACAGAGGATGACCTCACTTTCATAGAAAAGATGAAAGGAAAAAAGAAGTGTTAAATTAGATACATAAAAATGAACTGAAAGGAAATCCAAACCACTAAATGTGATGAAGTTGGCGCTAAAGAAGATTTATGGTTAGGCTGTATATTTCTATGCTGCATCTTTAACACAAGAGCAGTATTTACCCTTAAATACTGGCATTTCTGTTTAGCTTTCTTATAGAAAGTAGAGAAAGAAAACACTAATCAGACCAAGTATTGTAATATTTTGATGTTTTTCCTTGTAATTTTTAACTACTTTTCAAGAAGTTTTCTCTAAGACTAGAAATATAATGTCAAAATAATTTGGTTCCTAGCATTTTTCTCCCCCATTTCAGTTGGAAGCACCTTTGCCTATTTCTGCCCTTTCAATAGACATATTTTTAAAGGGCTACCTCATTTTATCCAATAAAAATATCACAATTTAGCATTTCTTTAATTGTCCCACTTTTTAATAATAGTAATGCCCCAGTAAAGGTTTTTGTATAGCTTTTAAAGAAAAATCTATTATTTTTATTTTATGTGTATGAGTGTGTCGCCTGCATGTATGTGAATGCACCTGTGTCGTGCAATGCCACAGAGGTCAGAAGAGGGCTTCAGATTCCCCTGGAACTGGAGTTAAGGGCAGTTCGTAGCCGCCATGTGGGTGCTGGGAATCGAATTTGGGTCCTCTGCAAGAGCAGTCAGTGCTCTTAACCACTGAGCCATCTCTCCAGCCCCTTGTATAGCTTTTTAACAAGAACCATGGCCTCAGAACAGCATAGTTCTTTGATTCTTTTGAGTATCAACAGAGAGCTCTTTAAGCTTAAAGGGCAAAAAAATTTTACTTTGGTGCGGGGGTTGGAGAGTTGGCTCAGCGATTAAAAGTACTGGCTGCTCTTGCAGAGGACTAAGGTTCGATTCCCAGCAGCCACAGGGCAGATAACCACCATCTGTAACTCTAGTTCCAGGGAAAATCTGAGGCACTCTTTTGACCTCTATGGGCATTGCACGACATGGGTGCACTTAACATGAGGGCAATACACGTATACGTATGAAATGAAATTAATAAAATATTTTTAAAAAGAATTTTACTTTGTTAAACTCAGACCAAAACAGCATAGAAATGGAGAAATGGGCAGGAGGCCATAAATTTGGTGATGAACTACTGGCAGCTGACCATTGCTGGGTGAAGGAGGGCTGATCTTTAAGGGAGTGACGCTAGACAGGCTGAACAGGGTCCAGAAGATGAGCTCACAGAGAGGGACACTGGGTACACAAACTTGAGTTGAGAGGCCTTAAGGCATATGACAAAATGCATGCAGTCCTGTGGGAAGTCAACGGGGGAGAGTGGGGCAGATAGGGAAGGGAGGCTAAATATGATTAAGATGTATTATATAAAATCCACAAAAATTCAATAAAACATATTTTTTAAAAACTTACATTGAATACTTAATCTTTTGTCATATCTGATACAAATGTTTTTTCTAGCAGCTTATAGCCTTTATATTGACTATTTGAATGCATATGAAAAATTTTATGTAAGCCATTTCTGCTGCCATACATATTTTTCTAACTTATTCGGCTATGTCTAGGTTCAGGAAGAGCTGGGAATATTAATTTTCCTTTGTCTCAGTCCTGCTTCACTGATCACGCTCTCTCCTTAGCTCACTCTGATCTACAATGAGCTTTTACTGGCCTCACATTTCTGTAAGTTAGTAGCAAGAAATATACATGAAATACTTACCACTGGTTTGACAATGTTGGAAAGAAATGCTTCAAATGCTTTAGTCTCTTCATCTTTTTCTTTGAAAAAATGAAACAATAGTGAGCTTAAATGCAAATTCTTCTTTCCATATATGTTTTCTGAAACTACATTCTGTTTTTTAGTTTTTACCCTTAGTTTACATGCTGGAGCTTGTGCCCCTCATCTGCTTCAATTTCTATTTTATTTGAACTATTATTACTAATTATAACAGTATATATAAATACATATATGCATGCATGTTATATATGTGTGTATGCACATACCTATCTACACAGTCCATTTTTCTTATGGAAGTGCAACTCATCCTTAATGGTAAAGATGTGCTCTCCTCTGGGAAGTCTTCATTGCTACTCTCATACCTTCTTTTTCAGTTTTCTTTTGAGATAGAATCTTGCTATATAGCCTAGGTGAGCCTGGAAGTTATAATCTTCCTGTCTCAGCCTCCCAAGTGCAAGGATTACGGATATGCACCATCACACATGGCTTTAATAAATGAACTAAGTATTTCTGGGATACACCATAAACAGGGTCTTCCTAAATAGGAATAATTTGCTTTTCTATAATTTATTTAAACCACTGACATATATGAAACTTTAACTTAACGTGCCTGAAAAAAATCAGTGCCAAAAAGGATGATCAGCAAGTCTCAAAAACTAATCAGCATTTCAGTAAATGTTAATATACAAACCATGAAGATATGAAAGCATTCTTTAGAACATTAATGAGGAATGAAAATGTTAAGGATGATGAGGGAGCACAGTTAGTTTTGATATTTTCCCCAAAGCTGGAAGCATCTTAGTTCTTGTTCATCAGCTACATCATTTGATAATTCAACACAATGAGAATTAGAAGTATCAATTTAGATAAGCATATTAAGAGAGACAGAACTGTGGTATTAGTGTCTATAAAATGGCATGTTAGGTTTCATAGGTGCATTTGATGAAACTTAAAAATACTGCATGGTCTACAAGTTAGAACAGGTAATAGTATCAAAAAGTCTATGAAAATTAAGATAAATGGTAATAAGAAGTTTAGCATTACAGTTAAAAGTAGCTGGGTATGAGCTTCAAACCATAAGCATATGGTTGATAGGCTATTTGTTAACCTAGCTTGTATTTACTTAACAGATATTTGAGTCTGGTATACATTTAAAAAATAGTGTTCAAAGCAAATATGGAGGCAGGCACAGGTGAAGGAAAGAGTCCAAAGAAAGCAGGGTATTCTAAGAGAAAGCAAAACTTGAAATAAAGGAAAGGAATATTCTATCCTAACTGTAGAACATGCAGAGAGGATTGGTTAATGACATTAGCTAGTAACTACCATGTATTTGTATAGAAATAAGTAGGGAAAATAAGTTTTGATAAAAGGCAAGAGAATTTCAATGTAATCAGAGATTTCCTATCACAAAGAAATTTCTCTCAACTAGTAAAATTTATGATACACCAGAAATTACTCACTGGGCTCTCCCAAATAAATAAAAGCAGCAGTCTGGTAACCATTCATATTCTAAATTTTATCTCACACTTAGGGAAGTGTTAGGCTATGAACTTATATGGTCCAGGATGAAACAACTGGAACATGAGAATACACTTTTAGTACTTTAAATGATGATGAAAAATATCAGAGACGCTTGCAGAAAGAGTTACCTTCTATTTCTGAGTCAACCTGTGTATAACTTTTTCCTCTTCCTGCCTTGTTTCTTGCTGATCCTGTGTTTAGACCTCCGGCATTCGGCCCTTTCATCAGTCCATTGTGTTCACTTATGGGAGAAGGGCATTTCCGGGGTGATGGCGGTGGACTGCTCATTTTATCTTTCTGTGTTCCTTGGCGATCCTTTAATTTTTTTTGTAAACGTTCATATGTTTTACTAGATCTTTCATCTCTAAAGTTAGATCTTCCATGTGTAGAGTGGGCATCTAGGAAGAAAGAAAACATAAATGTTAAACATACCACTTCCTACAAATAAACCCATCACGATAAAGATTAAGTAGTAGGCATCTCATATAAAATTTAATATAAATTATGAATAGTAATTCTGGAAAACAAAGCTTTTTCTATGTCTTCACTAATAGAATGAAGCTTTGTGACTTGATTACAATTATACATACTTTATACAGACATTTCTTTCCTTTACCATTTTTCCAACTATTAATCACCAGAGAAAACAGCTTAGTGGTATCCATGTACAAGTGAGTAATGAGACTTAGACTGACTTGTTGTTCTTTCACTGTTGTTAAGCTATTACTTTTAAATTTCTTTCAATACCAATCATATAAAACAAGCAAAAAGAAAACCACTACCTGCATAGACTCCCTTAAGAGTCTAAAAGGGAAATCATCACTGAAAGAGTTGTAGGAGCTAGCAAATAGAAAAAAGTTGGACTGTTGAACATTACTGTAATTTTACATTTAGAATCTGGACCAAGAAACATATTTAACAGAAGTGCCTTATAATCCTCAGTAAAGAAAACAATTTTAATTTAGCAGTACTTTATAAAAAAATAGCATGCTGTTGACTATTATAAGGATATACACAATAAAATTAGATTTTAAAAACAGGATTTTGAATATGTGCACATAAAAAAGTGGGCCTTTATTTCACACTAGCTACAAAATTATGAATCAATTATCTCAAGGTAGAGTTAAAACTTAAAACCCTTAGAAGAAAACGAAGTATATATGTATGACCTTGGATTTGATAATACTTTCTAAGACAAGACATAAAAAGCATAAAAAATAAAAGCAATTAAAGCAAAAAAAAAAAAAGGGACTTCATCAAAATTAAACACTTTTCTGTATAAGGGGTACCACAAGGAAAGTGAAAAGGCAATACAAGGAAAATATCCGCAAATCATATTTTTGACAAGGGTCTTGTATCCAAACTATATAAACATACAACACAACAATAAAAAAGTCAAATGTATTAAAAAATGGGATTAAACAAATAGCCAATAAGCACAAAAACAGAGGTTAAATATCACTAGTTATAAGGGAAATGCAAATCAAAATCAAAATGGGATAAAACATCACATCAACAAACTGGTTATCAAAAGATAGTTTTACTAAGATATGGAAAAACTGGAACCCTTATGCATAGCTGGTAGGCATATAAAATGGTGTATTCGGTGAGGGAAACAGTTTGGAAGTTACATTTCTACTCTGAAGTGTGGAGATATATTATCACAAAAACTTGTACACAAATGTTCACAGCATCATCATTCATAGACAAAAAGTGAGATATTAAAATGCTACCAACTAATGAATGAATAAACAAAATGTGGTATGTGTATCCACTGAGTATAGTATTCAACACTAAAATGGAATGCTGCTGTATGTCATAACATAGATGAACCGTAAGTTTAAAAACCTAGACAAAAAGATCACATTGTGCTTGACTATTTTAATAAAAATTTTGTATGTCACAACTACAGTGGTATGTATACTAAAATAAATGCCTGGAATAGGCAAAAACATAGAAACAGAGTAGACTAAGGAAGGGGGGTGAATAAGAAACCAAGATAGATTATTGACAGTATCTATAAAGTTTCTTTTCAAAATGGTAGAAATATCTTGAAATTAGACATCCTTAATATAACTGTCTGAAATCTGAAATGTTCCAAAGTCTAAATATGGCACCTGCAAGTAGCAAACTTCACACCTGAATGCATGTGTGATGCTTGTGCAAAATTAAGATGCATTAGGATATATGTATACATGAACTTCATGTAGATTTAGGTCCTATTCCTAAGGTATTTCATTATATATGTAAAATATCTAAATACTAAAAGACCTAAAATTTGAAATCCTTCTATTTCCAAACACTTCAGAAAAAAGATATTTAATCTAGGGCTGGAGAGATGGTTCAGTGGTTAAGATCACTGGTTGTTCTTGCAGAGGATCTGGGTTTGGTTTCCAGCACCCCCATGGCAGCTAACAACCTTCCCTAAGTCTACTTCCAGGGGATTTGATGCCCTCTTCTGATGTTTGTGGGCACTGCAGGACACGGGTGCACTTACAAACATGCAGGGAATACACTCATACTCATACACGTAAGATAAAAGTAATAAATAAGAGGTGATGTCTCACACCTTTAATCCCAGCAGTCAGGAGGCAGAGGCAGGTGAATCTCTGTGAGATGGAGGTCAGCTTGGTCTACATAGTTGAGTTCTAGGCCAGTTGAGGTTATAGGGAGACTCTGTCTCAAAAAAACTTAAAAATAATAATATTTTTTAAAAGTTATGTGATCTATATAGAATGTACAAAAAACTCCCAATTTGCACTTCCTGAACAATGTAGTAAACATACCAAACAAACTGAAATATACAGTTTAAAAAGGCCAATTTTTTAAAGTCAATTATAACAAAAACCCAAGAATCATAATTAGTATGTTTTAAAAATGTGGTTTGATTATTCAGATGCACTTATATTTTACATATTATTCAATATAAAATAATGAGAGTAACATTGGAGAAAATAAAGAGCCTGTTATATAGAGTAGATCTAGAGAGAATAAATAGCTCTGGAGCGAGCTTGTGCCACTACAGACATTAATCTTCTCTACTTCAGTCTCCTCCATTTTGCAAAATTTTATTAGGATTACATGAAATACTATATTTATGAGTGCACTGTTGAATGAAGTTCCGGTTCAATAATGACACTGCTAACAGTGAAATATTAGATTGGGTCCTACTTTGGGAATCCATACAAAATGTGTATGGAAAAGAATCTTGGAAGCAGCTACATACTAATAAATTAGTACTTTCAGCATCACATCCAATGATACATCCCCAGGCATATAAATTCAAATGTAATATGATCTTTGCATTCATCACCATCAGGTGGCTGGGCTTGTGGATTTATCTCCTTCACCTTCCTTCACATCATTGTGATCTATACCTGTGCACATTTCTTCTAAATAATCACAGGTTATAAAGCAGAATGGCAATAACTATATTGTTTAGCGTCTTCTTATAATTCTTCTCAAACATTTTAAAAAATGAAGCAACATTTAGCAAAAATGAAACAGAAAAATGGGACTAATCTGAAGGATGAATCTTTCTTTGTTACTCTAAAGTGTGTCTGGATCGTTGTATGAATCACCTGGAAACTTGTTTAGAAATCAGCATCTGAGGCTGGAAAGTATGAAAAAGTATATAATAAATGTTACAATGCACATAATGTATCCATTACTTAGAGGCTACGCTGCATAACTTAAATCTTTTTATTTAAATTGAGTTTGATGTTAGGTATGTCTGGCTACAGAGCAGGAGGTATTTGAAGATATAAATTTGAGAGATCTAAGCATATAGGCAAAGGAAAGAATAAGACTGACTGTGTAGTACGCGCGTGTGTTGGGGGGTAGTCTTTTCTTTTCAGCAATTCTATTAACTGACAGCAGTTATTCTGGCTCCCTCTTCTTTTTTAATCCCTCACAGAACCTAGCTAATTTTACTACCAGCATCACAGCCTAACAAAAGTGTTTCCCCAGAGCCTTGCCTGCAGAAGAGACCTCTTGTTTGAACATGACCCACTAGGTACTCCACATGATTTTCTGTTTACTCATCTGTTTGCTAAAGACATGTTTCACCAAGAAGCAGCAGCACCTAAATAGTGCTTGGGTTAAGAGAAAATGATTGTGGTATCATTATCCTGTGTTGTTTCTTTTACATGATACAAAGATGGCATCTGTTATAACCAACTCAACGAAGCAGGGATGTTTTTAGATAGCTTACCTACATCTGCATATACTTGTGAAGACTGATACTGTGGCATATATTGTGTTGCCATGTCTCCAGCGCCAGTCACTGGTGAGTACATATGGCGTGGTGGAGGGGGCATCATAGTTGGGACAGGAATGAAACCAGGGAGAGGAGGATGTGGAGAACGGTGGATGACTGTGTGACCACCAGGATGAAACTCTGGTGACTGAGGAACCACAACAACTCTCCGAACACCATTGTCTTCAATAACCTACAAAATAAACAGATTAAAAGTTTCTTCTGTAACAAATCAGCAACTTTTTCCAAGTATATTAGAGTGAGAATATACACTAGAATTTAGAAGATTGAGAATCAACATGAATTTATTTACTACATTAGGCACATATGAACAGCACTGAAAAATAAAATTAGTTTTGTTCTACAATATAAATGGGTTATTTAATGTAAACCTAAAAAATTGATGAGGGTGGCTACATGATGAATAAGCACCAAGCTACAATACTGAGTATATATATATATATCCTATGTACTACATGCATTTAGTGGCTTGTATATAACAGGACTAAGAATTTCCTTTTCTAGGAACCAAGGAGGTAAAGGAAAAGAAAGAATCTGAAAGAGAAGAACAGTAAGAAACAGGCATTAATAAGGGAGATATGGATAAAAATGGGGTTATTTTAAGGGGAGGGGGAAGGGAGGATTATATAAGGAACCTTGGGGATAAAGGGAAAGGAGGAGCTCAAGAGAGATGGGACCACAGGAGAAGGGTATTACTAAGGGAGAAATGGGAAAAAATGGGAGCACTTTAAATGGGGAAACCACAGTGGAAGGGTTAGACAATGCGAGAGATAATGCCTCGCTAGTTTTTAAAAAAACAGAAGGAACCATATTAATCGAACAACCTACAAGCAAATTATATATACAACTAGCTCAAGGAATATAATACATGTCTAGGCAAGGTTTATCTGAGAATGTTTGGTCTTTGCCCAAGCTTTATCTATATAGCACATGGTAATTAAAAGTACCAAATTGGTGGAATTAACTTTCTTGGATGTCTAAAAGCCATATTTTGAGGCCTATACTAATTTGGTCAGAGGGACATAAAGGACAGTTTTTGCTCCTTGCCCTCCTAGGTCGACTAAGCTCCATGGGACTATGAACATCTCTCAAAATATCCTGTAACTGTGGTGCGTTACCTGTCCTCTTAATCATGGAGGCCATGGAGACCCCATCAAATGGACTTGAACCAGTGTCCAGTCTACAAAGAGGAGGGTCAACACAGAGGGAACATTTCCTCCATGCTTCCAAGTGAAGCCAGCCATGATCGAGCAGGACCTTTGACTTATCTTCACACAGACGGAACTGGTAAAAGAAAGGAACAAGTGACTCCTCCCAAGCCCACATGACCCCTGAGGAACAGATCCCCAAATGACCTTAAAAAGAAATTGGTTTATCTGGGCCAACTGTATGGTCTTAAACACCCAAAAGGAAAGTATAACCAAAGATTAAAGGGGTCAATATAATTTTTTAAGAGTCCATGTGCATAGCTAAAGGCTACATAACAAGAAACAATGCCAGACAGGAGATTCCTTCGAGTTGTTGGCCAGGGTGGCCCAAGAGACTCCCAGACAGTAATGCAGGATAGAACTGGGAAAATGAACAGCAGACCCCAATCTTATCTAAAGGAATATTGACAACTGATTGCTGCTAGATGAGGAAGAGTTGATCTTCCTAAAACAGGGAACTCTAGATAGGCTGCCTAGATTCACCAGATGGACAAGTAATGGGGAACGTCTGGGGGTGCTGACAACACAGTGGACAGCAACAGGGATTACAGAGCATATGGGCTCCAGTGGAGAAGGGGGAAGACTATGGAAGGGTGCCATTTGGGATGTGGGTATAGAGATGAATAAGACTGGGATGTTCTGTATGAAATACACACAAAAAAATCAACAAATAAAACAATGAGTTATATTTGAGGAAGGAGCATAAAAATTTGCTCTATGTTAATTAGTAGAGGTGAAACACATTACCACTGAAGTCTACCCGATGATTTTATAACCATGCTCAGGTGGATCTCAGAAAGTAACTGACTGTGACTAGTAATAATCAGATACATAGAGATTAGAGATGCATGTGCAAATATCTAAGTGTTAGCATTAAGAATGAGTTTTTCCTGTATGAAACAGTATATTTTGAAATGAAATGGAGATCGTTTTTAAAGGATAAACCTTATTCAATTTTATGTCTTATAGGGTTTATCCTGAGTTCAATATTGTATAACTGTATTAATTCAACTGTGAACCTAAAAATTTATAGCCAATTCTGAAAGAGATGCATCTTTGCTCTGGAAATTGTTATTGAATATGTAAATGATGTAATGAAATGCTTCTTTTAATCACGTGGTTATTAAATAAAGAAAAAAAAGAAGAATCTCCTTTTCTATGTTACAACTGAAGATGAACTGAAAACAAGTTGTAAAAGACCAAATAGCACCAGATAGGCAAGTCCCAGTTACATCTATATCACCGAGGCTTAAAAATTACACTTCTTTTTTTGGAATCTAGTAGGATATGATGCTGCATGCTGCAAATCCCAATTCTCAAGAGGCTGAGGTAAAGGAATCCAAGGTTCTGGGTCAGCCTGGTCTATGTAGGGATATCCTGTTTCAAGAAACACAAACAAAATACCACTGCCCCTCCACAGAAAGGATTGCAACTGTGAGAAAAAAAGTAAATTTCCTCTCAATCTCACTGGACCTTTTATCTCAAAATGAGGAATCCTTCTGTACCAAGTGGCTAATGTAGCATGTAGATGTGGATTACGGTAGTGCTATGGGGGCTACGGCAGGCTGCTTCTGACTGCCTCTCCACAAACCCTTTCTTGTTTGCCAAAGTCTCAACAATCTCTCCCTCTTTAGTTTCTGCTCCACTTATTCTAGATCACCTCTTTGATTATTTATCAATTACAATGTTTGACTTTCCCATTGATGACTTACTGGAGTGACATTAACTTATAAAGTTACCAAAGTTTCTCAAGGAAACAACCTAAAAGATTTAATCCTGATAACAATCTTTTAAGTAGATAGTTTTATTACCTCCATTCTTTAGGGTCATACAGGTAGTAGTATTTGAATCCAAGCAGTTTGGAGCCAGACTCTAGATTCTTATTCACCTTAAACAGACTCTGCGGGTGGTCTACTGGCCCATGTGTTTCAAAACAAAACACAAGGTCTCACTTGGTTAAAAAAAGAAATGTATAAATCACTAACGTAATTTAAAATATATATATTTCTAAAATAGACATCTATATCAAACCTCTGCCACCCAAGGCTCAGGAACCATTGTGAAAGAGGGGATGGAAAGATTCTAAGAGCCAGGGGTAGTGGATGATCACAAGAAAAGTTATCAGACAGTTAGAAAGTTACTTATATGAACTCACAGCAATGGTGACAGTGTATACAATTTCCATGTAAATTTAAGCCAGACAAATTCACAGCATAGAAGTGGGGAAGTGGGAAAGAAGCCCTAATGTAGCTGAGGATCTCCTGGCTACTGGTAACTGTTGGGGAGAGGGAGAGCTGGCTTTCTTTAAGGGTGTGACACTAGATAGGTTAGGTAGGCTCCAGTGGATGGACACACATGGAAGGACATGTGGAGATACAAATTTGACTCCATAGGCCTTAATATATAAGACAGAGTACATGAAATCTGGCAGGAGGGCTATAAGAGGGGTACACACAGGGGAGGGGTGTCTAAATATGATAAAAACCTATTATATAAAATCCACGAAAATTCAGTAAAAATTAAAAAAAATAAGAGAAACAAAAAGAAACCCAAAAGAATGTTTCTGCTGAGAATGAACATTTAAAACAAGAGGAGAACAGGAAGTTATCATTTAATAGGTTCACAGCTTCAGTTTTAATCAGTATGAAGAGCCCTGTGGATGAACTAAATATGAATGAATTCAGTGTCACTGAGTCCTGCATTTAAAAATGGCTAAGATGGTAAATTTTATGCTATGTGTATTTTACCACAATTAAACAAAAAGAATACAAAAAATACCACTGGGTGGGAGGTGATGGCCAAACAAACATAACAACAAACCAAACAAAAAAAACCCCTTACAATATAACAAAGAGCCCAACCAGAACCAAAATAACATAGAGAACCTCAGCATTTCAATAATAATCTAAACAGCAATAACTTGAGACGGGGGGCCAGAGGCCTCAAAATGGTAGGAAGTCTCTGGAGGTTTAGAGGCTCAGAAGTAGCCAGACATGCAGACACTGAATTTAACACCGGCAGGGCACTCTGGTGGTAAGGATGAAAATAAAATCAGTAAGTTGAGGAAAAGAAATTCCATTGAAAGACTAATAAAATTTAAGACATAGATGATGTATCATCATAGTCTGATTTCTTAACCACAGATACCACTCACTTTTAATTAGGCAAAGCCCTGTTTCCTTTATTGAACACAAGACATGAGAGCTGCAGAGAAAGGAGGTTGTTTTTTCCTAGCACCATATAGTGTATGTTCCTTCCTGGTTATAATGTAAGTTCTAAGGCAAATCTGTTTTGCTTGCTGTTTTTTTCTCAGTCCCTGGAGTAGTATCTGGTTGATGAAGACACCTCAAAAAGATTTGTTGAAGAAATGATATGATTTCATTTAGTTTAGTTTAGATTTCATTCAGTTAGTTTTACTAGATAGTTCACTGAACTCTTAGGGTGATTTCCTCAAATCTTTGCTTCTCACAGCACATCTGGCAATGTATTTTGAGAATCCCTTCAACGAATTGTTTTACATACCCAAATACAGCCAGGTCCACATGTTGTCAGTAAGTAAGCATAACCTCCATTTTCCTCTGTTTTTAATTGAACCTTGGTAAGTTCCCCTTTTAGTCTTTTCAACTCTGCTGTTCCCTTTTGGCTGTTCTCCCCAAGACAAAAGACAGCACTGAGATTAGCCTGGCTGTAGAATCTCTGAAAAGTATACTGATTCACCAATGGATGCTGACATGATGCAAATGGAAACTGCAAGCACAGCTCAAAAGAGTAATCTGAAACTTAAAATCAAGTTGACATGGGTCTTTTCCACCACTATCCCACCCCTCCTTAGATACTCTCATCTGAACAACCCATATGCCATTAAAACAAACAAAGGACTATTAACGGATAAGGGAGCCAATACAAAAAAGATGAAGGAACTTCTGTTTTTCAGGCTAGGTTTATTATATATTCTAGGCTGGCCCTGAACATGATCTATCTGTCTCTTCCTTCTAAGTCCTAGAATTATAGGCATGTATGTGGATACACAGTTATGGGTTTTACAATGACATTCTCATACAAGTGTACCACATACCTTAACCATGTTCACACTCTCACCCTCCTTTTACTCCCTCCTTTTTCCTCCCACTATTTCCATCCAAATCCCCATATAGTCTCATTTGAAACTCAAAAAAAGGCTTGATGTCTGTATGTTTGTGTGCATATATGTGCACAGTCATCTATCCGACTTTATGTATCATACATGAATCCAGGATTCACAAATAAAAGTAAAAAGGATATTTGTCTTTATTTTTTGAATAATTTTGCTTAATATATCTCCATTTGTATTCATTTTTCCTGAAAATGACATAATTTTATTCTTCTTTACAGCTGACTAAACTCTATTGTGGGGGCTGGAGAGATGGCCATAGTTGTGTGCTTTACTATTCCAATAGTCCGAAAGTCTGTTTTGTGCCAGTATCATGTTGGTTTCATAACCACGGTTCTGTAGTATAACCTGAAATCAAGTGTTGTAAGACCTCCAACAGTGCTCTTTCTGCTTAAGACAGCTTTGCTACTTTAGATCTTTTATGCTTTCATATGAATTTTATGACATTTTTATTTCCTAATGAAATTGGATCTTAAATCCAGTTTAAAGATCTTTTAGATCTTTCTCTTTCATGTCTCAATATGCTCAAGTAGCATTGTTATTTTCCAAATGATAGACTGAAGTTCTCAATCCTAGATATTTTTTTTTGTAGTTCTTGCTTGCTTGACAAAACATTTTATGACAAATAAATTTGCTGTATCCTATTAGTATGTCTCAGAAACATGATGCTATAGCAAATTTGACTCTCCTCAGATCACTGGCCTTAAATGATCAGACATCAGCAATGGAAGAATGTGATAAAATTTCCTGGTATGAGAGGTAATCAGTGTATAAAATGCTAAATGTAGACTAGGTGGTAGTTATTAATGTGTGTGCTACTGGGTTCCTACTAAATCCACAACTTGTTATAGTCATGTATGTGTCTCAATTGTTGGTTGATTTGCTAGCACTGTTTATGTGTCAAGTTTTGGACAATGTGTTAAGTGTTTTTGCTATGCCCAAATGTAGATCTTAATGTTTTCTAATACCAGAATTATGTGTTATGGAATGAGGGTGTATTGATGTACTTGCCCTGTGTACTTACACAATTTCAAAAATGATAAGACTGAATTTTTTTCTTTGGATTACCCCATGTACTTGAAAATGATAAAGTTCCTAGAGATTTGATTTTTAAATTAAAATACTAGTTAATTCATTAACTTATTTGGCAAACATTTATGGGACACCTACTAATCTGAGTACAAGAATGTAAAATTAATTAAATGCACAGCTCCAATTCCCCAAGGGACTTAAAGTCCTTTGAGAATAATAGAAATAGAAAAAAAACAAAACCCACCACAATTCTACTATCAGCTGGTATGTACAGTAACACACAAAAAAAGTGATACAAACAACTTGATCTAGTCCTTGAAGTCTGACAAAATTTCTAAAAACATAAATGGAAGAATTAACATCCCCTAAATAAGAGCTTTAATAAAATCAGGGAGAAAGGAATACACTGAATATGGGAAGCTATGCAAAAATAGAAAATGAAAGTATCAAGAGAACATGGATGCAAAGGCAAACTAAATCCCAAGAAACTTATACTGTATTCAGTGGAAAGGTTAACTAATAGCTCTTTATGGTCAAAGAAGTGACCATAAAGTGCTATAAGAAAGTTATTTCAGTTTTTCTTGGTCTAGGGATTTGTATTTAACAAGTTCCTACTGTAAGGTAAGTCCTTGAAATTGAGGATATAATATAGGTGGAGTCTTATATGATCCAGGTAACTCTAATCTCATTCTCTATTTTTATTCAGCCATACTAGTCTCCCTATTGCTCCTAGGCATGGAATTCATTTCAGGCCATTTACAAAGACAGTTTCTGCTTCTAGAATACTGTTTTGATAGATAAAAGCATGGCTAATTCCTATCTGCCCTTTAAGACATCTCAAATAGCACCTTCTCAATGAGGCTTGTTCTACCATGCTACTTTAATATATAACCAGCTCTATTCTATTTTCACTTTTTCCCATCACTCTCCTTTCAATTGCATTAGTTTATCTACTGGTTATGCTTTTTGTTTTGGTCTCCTTACAAGAAAGCAAACTTCAGACAGAGCAAGAGATATCTCAAGCACTCAAGAGTGGCTGGCATGTGCAAGGACGCAATACATATCTGTGGAATAATGTTGTCTGTAAGAACTTCAAAACTTCATAATCTTCCTAAGAAAGAGAATTAATTTAAAATCTGTGACAAACTTACTGAGAGAACTAATATGACAGAAGAGGCAAGAAAAAGGCTTAGGAGAGTTTGTTTGTAGAGGTTCATGATTGAGTAAAAGGAGGTTAAGGGTCTGTGGTAAAAATTAAAAAAGTATTGTGGAACAGGCCCAGCAAGGTGGCTCATACTTGTAATTCCAGCACTGGGAAGGCAGAAAGTAGAGGATCATGAATTCAAAGTCAGCCTATGCTAGACAGTGAGAGCCTGTAACAAATAACAAAACAAAGAATAAAAGAACACAAGAATACCCTATAACCGAAATAAAAGTCTTACTTATCTTTTTGTCAACAGCACATAGTACAGAGTCTGACGATGGTACTACTCAATAAATGTTTGTTTGAACTGAATTACGCTAGAGAATGATTTTTATATAAGTGAACAGTGTTCTGAGGAGGAGCAAGAGCAGTAGAAATAAACAAAGGCATTATGTCAGCAAAATATGGAGTAAATTACATCAATGACATCTAATTTTTAAAGGTCAAAGAAATCAGGCAGAAAAAAAAAAGTCTTCAGTATTCAGAAGGGAGCTAAAACTGTAGGAAAATTATATGTAGAATGTAAACTATAATAAATTAAGGTCTCAGTGGACTGAACAAAAAGTAGTGATAGTGATCAGAGGCTATTCTTCTGAAAAGATTACAAGGTACTTTTCAAATATATTATCTCTTGTGTTTTCATCTCATTACAATAAGGGCACTGAGAATCAAGAAAGTTGATATGCCCTAAACCTACCAGCCAGCAAGGATTTGAAATCAAAGATCCAGCTTTTCTGACTTTAGACCTTAAAACTTCCATTCTCAGCACACTACTTTTTGCCCTCATACAGTGGTATGTTTCATATAGTAAGCAAAGAATTTGCCACAATATCCAACCAATATTCTGCTGTAATCTGGGAGGAAACAAAGACAACTCGAAGAATACCTAGGTGTAAAGTCAATGCTTAGAAGAGAAAATGAGTATCCCCTAAAAGGGACTTGATGCAATGAATCAAGAAATCCCAGTAGTGGAAGACACACCTCACATCTACCATTTAAGTTTGCCTGCAAATGTAACTTAACTATACTTCATTCTTAAGTCAGAACCTGCCATACCTCGGCTTGCTTTAAAGTCAATGATTTAAAAAAAAAAAACATGGATAGGTTAACTTATTATTTACATTATATACATATTCAAAGACAAAACTCTAGAATACATTTTCTTTTCGTAATTCAATGTGCAAAGGCAACTCTAAATGAGTACTGCCAAGCATTTTTCCCTCCTTTCCAAATATATTAAAATACTTGAAATGGATTTATAGAAGAAAGTTCATCACTTAAATAGCATTTTTTCATCAAAATCAAATTGAAAGAGTGTAACATCATTATTGCTGGATACATATATAATGAAAAATAACACAAAAAGCATACCTGTGGGGCATATCCAGGAGGCACATAAATAGGAGGCACAGAACCATTTGGGGACATCATTGGAACCTGAGCAGGACCTGAATGGGATACAGAAATGATACAATAATCCATCACTGCTTATCAATGTGAAGCTGAAAGCAATTTGATGACTTTTTCTGACCTAAACATTCAACCAACAGTGGCTTAAATATTATGCCATGAAAAGAAATTAAGATTACTGATTTTTTAAAAATATTTGCTCTAAAACGTATAGAGATTATTTTAAAAGTATATTTGCATTTCTCAAACTTGCCCAATGTTAACAGTTACATGGGCAACATTTAAAACCCAAGCTTTACAGGCTCTCCTAGAGATTTTTAGTCTCCTTACAGTCTCCAATCATTACGTTTACTCTACAACTGTCCCACATGATTCTTATGATTGGGTAAGCAGGAAAATCAAACTGAACTTTGTATATTAAAAAAAAGGTCAATGTTAAATACAAAATTCCAGTTCCAGAGGATCCAATGCCGCCTTCTGACTTCCGTGGGCACTGCACAACATAGGAGCATTTACACACATGCAGGCAATACACTCACACACATGAAAAAAAAGATAAAAATTTAAAAGAATATAAAAATCACTAAAAAAGGATTAGGGAAGAGCAGCAAGAGGAAGAACAGTTAAGATACAAGTGCCTTGTCTAGGTTTAAAGACTTGTGTAATGTGAAGTCATGTCTATGGGGGGCTTAAGAGCAAAGTAAGAGGGGCTAGAAAGGTGGCTCGAGGAAAAAGAGTACTTGCTGAACTTCTAGAGGACCCAGGTTCGTCTCCCAGCACTCACATGGTGGCTCTATTGTCCTCTTCTGACCTTTGAGGTCACTACACACACATATGCACCAATAACCAAACTGGCAATCCAAACACTTGTACAGATAAAGTTATTAAAAAAAAAAAAAAAGAACAAAGAGAAAAGTACATGTGCGTTTACTCAAAGAAAAGTTTTGTTTTCCCTTACATAGGGAAGTTCTAAAAAACAAAGTTCAATTGTATTATATTTTCTTTTGTGTTTATGGTGTCATGCTTTCAAAGAATTTTTATAAATATTACTTTACTTACCTTCTCTTTTCACTTTCCTGGAAAAAAACAGCACTTCTAGCAGGTTTTAGACTAAAACCTTATGTACACCTCACCTTCAGACCTTTTCTTCCTGTAACTTTAGCCTGCAGTGTCCCCTTAACCAGTTCTTAATCACTTGAAAGGAAACCTTTTCAGAGAAATTACTACTTTTAAGAAAATAAAGTGTACGAGTCTGGTAAAGAATGTATCAGGGAAAGAATCTCTATTATACACACAATTTAAATCTGCCAGTGAATGTTAACCCTGGTAAAATCACAGGTACTAAAGAGCCTGGGATGTTCCAGCAAATCCAGATTCCAGTCTTTCCAGGGAAGGGGGAGGGGAGGGGGGGAGAGAAGGTAGGGAAGAAAAGAAAATGTTAAGAAAAAGAAGTTGCAAGAAGGGAAAGACTAAATAATAGCAAGGAAAGGGGAATGAAGAGAAAGAGGGAGGAAGGGAAAGAGGAAGGAGGAAGGGAAAGGCGAAAAGAGAAATGGGTAAGGAAGAAAGATTAACTGGAGAAAAAGAAAGGAGGAGGAAGGGTGGAAGAATGAACAGGGAGAGGGAGAGTAAAGACTGCAGAGGTCAAGAGACAGAAGGAGAGGGGATGCAAACTACTAGGTCACACTGCAGATCACACTGCACAAAACTGACTTTTAAACAAAATACTTTTCATCCAAAAAAAACCCACCAAATACATAAAGCCTTAGTGCTAGAAATCCAGTGAAGGGCCTTGCTGGGCAAGAGCTCTATTGCTGAGTAACTAACACCCAGAGCTCCCAAGCACCAAGTTCTTCAAAACATCATCTTAATCATAAATTGTAAATACTAAAACTGTAAGCCAAGTCTTTAGTATTTTTTATCCTCATAATCATTTAATCAGGTAAAATATCATCACCCGTTTTCCAGACATGGAAAATGAGGCAGAGAGAAAGCTTAGTGTTAGTTAAAATGCCAGCTCTTACACCCTAGTGTTAGTCTTTTACTAAGTAAAACTTGTGAGCTGCTTTAAATCTCTACCCAGAAAGGATTCATTCGAAGCATACCTTTTCTGGTTTCTGGAAAAATGAGAACAGTTGTACACTAACCCTGTTTTTATTCACGAGCTAATTTACATAAAACCAGTAAATTAGTTTTCCAAATCCCAAAAACTGACTTAGATATTATTTATAAAATATGAAACTCAGTTGAGAACCACAGAGAGAGAGAGAATTTATTGGAAACTGCATCTGTATTCTTAAAAGGAGATTAAGATTTATTGAACTTTTACCATATATATTAAGCTTAGACTGCAGGCCTTTTTCCATTGCCAAGTTTAATCTTATGCCAAGTCATTAAAATAGATGCTTTTGTTTTTACTTAGCCATTAGAACAAAACATATTGCCAATTACACTTAAAATTGTAAAACTACATAGCTGCTTTAGGTTGCCCTCCTTTTACTAGAAATAAGGCTACAGCTACATAAATACTGCCCAGTTACAATTCAAAGCACGCTACACTATTTTTTGGTTTGTTGTTGTTTCTTCTAAGACAGGGTCTACCTATGTGGTCTAGGCTGGCCTCATACTCTCCATTCTCCTGACAGGGTACTAGGATTACCAGCATGTACCACCATACTTGGTTCATATTGTACTTTGATAGTGGCTAAAACAGTTCATTATTTAGTTGCACAAAAATTGACTTTAATTCACTTCTTTATGAAATAATCATTTAACCCTAGTAAGTAAATTTTCTTATTGAGGCAAAAATGCTACATGGTTAGATGAAAAAAAAAACCCCATAATTTATAGGTACTATATGTAATATCTAAACTATTGTTGGATATGTTCAACAATAAACACATACCCCACCATTCATAGATGCAGTAAATAAACACAGTACCAATAAACATAGTACTGATGTTCAGATCTACAATGCTGACAGCACTATGTCTCTTGTCCTATGTCTACAGTAACAAAACTCTAAAGCCTTGAATACTTACTAATGCAAACGCTTGAGTACCTCCTAAGCCAAAAAATGCTTTTTTTTTTTTTCAATTTAGAAAGTTCTAAAGATTAACTACAAACTACCTGAATTTGTATGCAGGAAAGAAGAGGCTAACTCTCTTATAGGGTGAGTCTACCATACAATGCATGCCTGGCACAAGAATAGCTGTATCCAAACAACTGTGGATACACCTAACAGTTTCTTCCAAATTTACATGCTTTGAGAAAAATCTAACCCAAATCACAGAGCAACTTCATTATTAAAGGCTTGTTCCCTATTTTGAAATTGTGTAGAAGAGATACAATCCTATTTGCTATTTGCCTTAAATTTGAGACGCTCCCCACCCCCTTAAAAGTGCCATCGATAACCTAATACCCAGTGTTTCACCTGGTATAAATTAAACTTATTTTTTCCTTAATAAGCATTCATATTTAAGAAATTTCTTTCTTTTAAAGAAAAATCCCCAGGAACTCCACATCTGCCCAAGCATTTAACTGTTAACTATGCAACGGGCTGCTGACGTGCTACACACTCTGGAGAAGCAAGCTTGCACAATGGCTTCCAAATAATCCGATGCCAAATTTCAGATCAGCTTTTAAAAAGAACAACCAAATAAAATCAAGCCGCCAGAATAGGATATTCTGGGGAATATATAATCAATCTAGCTCCACACAGTCTGCTATTTTTATAACCACATAACAATTTATAATATTAATAATATTTTTTATAGAGTATAGATTTGGCATCTACTAAAAACACAAAACGGTTTGGGATTAATACAATGCTTTCTATGTTTTAAAATAATAAAAGCGAATGTTCAAAACTAGCAAATCTTACCACTCATTTTGTTTTTACAGGAGCAGCAGGGAACAAGAAAATCCAACGAGGAAACAGCGTAGTACACGTTAACAGCTTTAATTGGAGAACAGTTTCAGTTTTTTTTTTTTTTTTTTCAAAGCTGGTAAGAGGAAAAGATCCTTTGACCGAGTCACATGATAGCTATCACATGACCTGGAGTGAACCGGGAAAGACCCGGGAGGGGAAAGCAACACTAATGTTTCTGCTTGAGCCCTTGGGATACAGAAAGTGATTAAATGGTTCTATAGCTGCTTCCCTGAAGGTACACAGCTTTCAAACTTCCTTAGGAAACCATTTAAAGCAGTCAAAATACACCTTGCAGAGACGCGTTTGATTTAAAGGTAGGAAATCCTCTTTTGTGTTCACAGATAGCACCACAGAATCAATCGCTAGCTTCTATTTATTCACAGACCCTGCTGCTGGTTTTCACTTATGAAATTTGGGATAAATATGAAATTAATTTAAACGCTTTGTTACAAAATGTGATTGTGTAATTTAACTGGTGTTTCAAGCTTAAACCTTAAGGAATGTCCATAACACACAAAGAATAGGCTTAATTTGGCATGTTCCTTAAAGGTGGAACACATTTCAGATGCGTTTATTCCTCTCAAGCTGATAAAGGCTTCTGCTTTTATTGTTGGTTTGCTTTCCTTTTGTCTGATTTAAAAGAAAAATATTTAATCTGGGCATTAAGGTGCTTAGTGAAAAGATTCAATCTTGCTCATAAAATATGACAGTACTCAGCCAACAACAGAGACCAGGAAATTGATCAATATTCACTTACAAGATGGGGAGAAGATTAAGGTATTTTGAAAGATCTTTAATTACTTTACCGGCTATGTAAATTCAGAGGAAATTTATCAGTAACACAAATATACAAGTAATGACTGTGATTTGTAACAGCACAGTGGAATTTTGGTATCAAAAGATACTGAATGTTAAAAATAGCTTCAATATTTACTAATAAAGCATTTTACTACTCTGACTTTGTCTCCTGTGAAACAGTTGAATTACTGATCTCATAGCATTGCTGGGAGAATCAAACCAGATAAGTTTAAACATGAATCTATTGGCTGGGCCCCTCAATAACTGATATTTATTGTGAGTAAAAGTGTGATCACCATCTCTTTTTCA